TATGTCCAATCAGTCTGTTAGTTAACAGAGCACAGTGTTTGGCCAAGGGTAAAGATGAGACAGACCATAAAACATGGATGGCTCTTGCAGAAGTCGCCGGGGGAGCACAGATGAATGGCACAACAATCTCTGTGCTTGTAGGTGTTATCTGCTAATGAAGAACCACCTGTGGCTTTATGAGTCACTTACCAGGAGCTGTGTGCTCCAGTATACTTTGGAGCTTTTCTCTGAAGTCTCTCTTGATAAAAGATGGGCCAACTCAGTACACCGGACTGGCGTCATTGCGAGTCAGTTGAAGTGCGCTTAACCTCTTCCTTCACTTATCAGGATATTAGGCATCACAGCCCCAGAGGACCAATGCACAACTCACCTCTCTCTTCCCTTGTGACATGCAAACACATCATGTCTGAGGTAGTAATTACTGGGCAGCACAGCACCGCATTTAGCCCATCCTTTCATATTATAACTATCCAAACTGCAAAGGTCTGTGTCAACGAGACCAAAAGCTTAAGCGACCTGTTATGACTGTATGTTTGGGCAGAAAGATGCAATTTCCTAACTGTGTTTTTCTATGGTTGACACTGTTGAATGGTTCTTGACACCCTGTAACTAGGGTTACATTAAAGAGACTGGATAGTGCATCAATAAATCTTGTGGTTTACTTTCTTTCACACAACACAACCCACAAATAGCAGGTCTTTCTTCAACCTGAATTCAAAGTGAAAGTATGAAACATACTGGTTAAAAAAACACTAACATATACTGATGACTCTCTATTAGCCCATGTGTTTGGGATGTTTGAGATGTTGTATTTTAGGAGTGTTAATTTGCACAGGACAGTAGTTCTGGACCTTGCTTTCTGGGTCTCTTTGACCTGCACAATCTTCCATGAAGATGCTGTCCGTTGTACCCCTTTAATGATCATGTTTGATGAACTGAAAGCTCCACAGCACTACAAAAAAAAATCCATTCTTCCTAACTAGGAAAGAAAAAATAACTCAGTGGGCGGTACATCCACTTCAGGATGGAGGCACATTCATATAACTGAAATATCCTCAGAAGTATTTTTAAAGTTTCACAGACCCTGACACACACACACACGACATCCACGTGCAGTCAATGTTTCCAGACATTTCTTACCTAACCAGGCTTAAAAAGGGTTAGGCAAAAGGGGCATGGACAACACCCACAACCGCACAGAAATGTGTCATACTGTACATTATGACTTATGATCTTGCACAGTACAATCATACAGTTTATATCCATGTAGGCTGGATGGGTGTAATTTTAATGTGCAGGATTTACAGACACGCCTTCTTATAATCAAGTACCATCCTAATAACTGTTAAAAAGCAGTACAAGAGGAAAAAGAAACAATTCTCACTCTTCTATGACATTAAGTAAACCACCATCTTTCACAGGGCTCATTTTGGGCCTGCTAGTAGTTAGTGTCTCTTTCACATTCACACTTTATACATACATAAATTGGCTTTAATCTACCTGTGGTTTTCCATCTGCCCTCAATATAGCATTGTGCTGCATTTAAAATAGGCCAAAATATACAAAAAAATAGGGCAGGAGCAGGTCTGCAGCAATTTGGCTACTTGGGTGCTTGGCACACTGCTGAAATATAGTCACACCGGCATGCCATGAAGTCATACACACACCAAAAATCTCAGAAAAACTTGACTGAAATATGTGGAATGTAGGAGGAAGCAAGTTAATCGAAACAAGTCCGGACAGGGTGATACCCAGCTCAGGTGTAGGCAGGCTAGACAACAGCACAAAACAAAAAACAAGCTGGCCTTCACAGGGGCAGCTTTCACTACTTAAAATTCCTTACAGATACGCCCACCCTACACCCACCCTTCTCCACAGGCATGTGTGATTTACCTGGATCATCTATTGTATCTAACCTTACAGACACATCATTTCAAACAAATTCATTTAAAGTCTGTGTGGCTCCTTCATTTATTCAAACAAAGCGCAGCCAACTAAGATGACATTACACGACTTAAAAATTGTCCTTTTGTCCCACAAAGATTATTAAAATTTCATCTCATGTTTTTGCCATAATTTCATTTCAGAAAAACATAAAAATAGGCTACATCAAAGTGCTACTAGCCTAGATTTCCAAAAAGCAGTTGTAGGCCACAGGAAACTGGGACATCATGTGAGTGGCGGTAGAACTTCATGTGTTTCTAATTATGGCAGAAACAAGATTAAAGCCATTACATATTGTTTCTCTGGAGGCAAACCTATGATGGAAATCAAATGAGAAATGGCTATTGGCTGGCACTAACATTATAGCACACAGTAAACAGGCCAAGGCCATCAGGTAATAGCATTATAACTCAGCTGTGGTTTGAGTATTGAAGCTTAAATACGCTGGAGAGGAGCAGATACACGCATTTGCAAATGTGTTATCGTTTTAGAAGACTAACATGTATTTCAAATGTCAAATGTGTATCTATTTTAGAACATCAGAAGACTTGCACAGTGTTTTCCCTTTAGTTATCTTTTTTGAACGGAAATCTCTTCAAAAACAAACTGATAGGTGAAACAACAAAATAAATGCCGGGGTAATTTGCCGCGGATCTACACACTGTATCAAGTAATTTATTAATCAAGCAATGTTTTGATCCCACAGAGAGCTTCTTCAGGCTTTGTCATGCCAAGTAATATCAGCAGGTAAAACAAACTTTGTTTTACTTGGCAGTGGCGTGTATAATTTTGGCTCAACTAAAAATTTACCTTAAAGCAAAGCACAGAATATACAGTATACTCAATACACAATAGCAGAGAAGTTATGAAAGTTACCTAATAAAAGAGTTCTATAAATTATATCATATACTAATGCAGTTTTAAACTGCTGCGCATAATGCTGGCAGATCATCTTCTATTCTATTGTAAGGTTTTGAATTGAGAATATAATTTCAATATAAATTGTTTGTCCCTTCATATTGATTTAAATGTTTTGTAAGTTGACGGCAGAGCTGGGCAATAAGTCAATTTTAGCAGTAAATTCGAATTTAGGATTTAGGATCAAGTTTATAAATTAAAAGTGGGTAATTACACAGAGGATTGTGGGTCAGAACAGCCAGAAAATATTTAATTTTTAGGCAATATCACACAGTCCTAGTTGATGGTTAGTTAAAATAGTTGCTGAGCTGATGTTTTCATCTAAATGTTAGCAAAACATTGTTAATTGTTAAGTGTAAGAGTATTACTCCAGTCAGCTCTGCTTAGGCTGTGGAGAAGTGATTATTCAGGTATTTAGGGGGTTATCACTACATCAAAATACCCAGACTTTTACTCACCTTCAGATAATATGTCAACTCCATTTTGTCAGTAAGTGTGTCATTCATAAAGACAACAATGACGAGAACGCACTTTTTCCACGCTGGAGGAAGTTGATGAGCCAAGCTACTTTTGGTCAATACATTTGGTTGTCAGCGGAGACCGTTTTCCAAGGCAGAATCATAGCTGTGCCTACAGAAAGCTCATTGTTTCCACTTGTTGATAGTAAGACATGCTTTTTTATGGTAATGAGACTGTCTCTGCAACTGGGCTGGATGCAGTGCCAACAATAACCCCTATTGACTCACTTTAACATTTTGCCCCCTTGACACTCACTGCAGTCACATTGTCTGCAAAAAGTTGCTTTCTCACCAGTTCCCTTACACAGACATCCCCCTGTTTATTTCAATCCCTGTCTCTGTCCGCTCCTCTCGTCTGTCTAGGCAGTGAAGCTGTGGCCTTAGTGGATGTTGGGTTAGCAGACATACACAGCATTTCCTGCTAACAGAGCAAATGTGTCTCTTTCCCCAACGACAACAACTGCTCAAACGCATCTGTGAGCAAGTCTGCCCCCCCTTCCCCCCCTAAAAAAGGGGAAGGGACATGTCTGTAGGACTAAGTAAAAAACGGAGTTAAATCAGGTCACGCCGTTCCGCCCAGTTTTTTAAGGCGAATACACGAGGCAAATGTGACCCTGCCAAGAGATGCAGCGCAGAAACAAATGTTTGACTACCGTGAATACTCCAGGTTAATATTTACAAAGAGAGAGATCAGCCTTAACGTTAGCAGGCACACCTGTGAGATAGCGTCACATCAAATGACACAGGTGGCTTAACGTGATACAAACACTGGTTTCATTCACATTAAGGCCTCGGCAGCCACTGTATAGTGTGGCTTAAGAGCTTATAGTCTGACCACCTAAAAATAGATAGACAAGCTGGCGTCTTCAGTATTTTAGCTAGCGACTGTTAGCTCGCTAGCTAAAAGCATATAACGTTACTGGGGTCGTGTATACGTAGCGCGATTTTGGGGTGACGCTTAGCTACATGGTCATGGATTACAAGGCTATAAAATGTTTATTTGTAGCCCTAAATATTATCCAAACTCAACTTTTTTGACAGGATTAAAATAAACGTTAAGGAGCTGGAGTGAAGCTCCTCTGCCTATCTAGCTGGCTCGGGATTAACAACAACGGGGTTAGGCGTCCACTGATAAAATGTTTCAATACAAGGCCAGTGAGCAACACTAGAAAGCTAACGTTAACGTTACATTTGGCTATACATATACCGTTAAGAAGTGGTCTGTCAAATAGAGCATGCAGAGAGCAGCACAGCTTAACGGTATGTTGAAATGCCACGGTGTTTACCTTAAGAGTTTGTACTCAAGCTTAACACATTAACTAACGGTTACGTTAACGTTACCTTACCACCACTTGGACCCGGAGTGTTAACTCGTCTACCACTCACAGGAGGCTCAGCGTTTAGCTAGTTCTGTTTTCGATAAAAGACCACTGAAAATGTTACGTATGTACTTACCTTGCCTTCGAATGAATTCTCTTCAAACCGTAATGATTATCACCCGCAATGTGGTAACATTACGAATCCCTCTTTGAGTCTTGTCATGAGTAGTCGGCATACACTGTATAGTAGGCGGTGAGAGACTGAAGGAGCGGGGAGTTCCCATCGAGTCGTCATAGCCGAGCTGCCTTCAGGTACCCTCAGATATGTTGTTGTTACTTAAGTCCCCGTGCGGCAAAAGGTGAGATAAGGTTGGATGGGTTTCGATTTCTAAACATAGAAACACCGCGATAAAACAGCACATCTCAGAGCACAGTTGTTTGATTTTATTTAGCAACGGAATGCGCAACAAGACGTATTTACACACTGGAAATCTGAAATTGGAGCACTAGAGGAACATTTGAATGCAGCAACAGTGACAACTACGTAAAAAATGCAGCGTTGGAACCAGGGGCAGAGCCAGATGTTGTAAACATTCGGAGCTTAGCCCAAACCAAAGGGGACTACAATCTCGTTTTTATTTAATTGTTCTCCCGCTGCAATCCAAAACAAAACAAATGTTGAGGATCACTCATTTTCACTCCTGGCAACTAAAAAGAGGTAAAACTTATCTGATGTTACTATTTTAAGTTATATAAACCAAGGTATGGTAGGAATATGGTGTAACTGTCATCATTGGAGGTAATTCGGTTTGATTAGGATTCAGAGGGCTGTGATGCATTACAAAACAATTATAGAATTTTTTTGTATATGATGTATTACATTTGCACATTAAAAACAAAAAGTCTCCTCATCAGCTTAAAGGACTAGTTTGCATCCCTTAATTTACTTTACGAATTTCAGCTCCTTTATCGTCACCACCATCCTTCTGTCACCCCCACTGATCAGAAACTTAAGATGCAAAGAATATCAAATGCATTCTCTTACATTTACTTCTGGCATCTGTGCCCAATTTATCTTCTATTCACTTCTTTCTTCTAAACGCATTTTCATCTCTTGTCCCTCTTCCATTTCACCTGCTTTTATTTAATTTTTTCTGGAGTCCCTGGATCACCAGTTTGCAGTTAATCCACCTGCTGTTAAATTAGCCTATTATTACTTTTGTTAGATTAGTACAGGAGCATCTCAAATCTCAAAACAAATTTGAATCTGGTGGAAAAGTTAATTGTGAGCACCAGAACCAGACTGAGAGATTAAAAGCTTAAGAAACTTTTGCAGGTGTTTTGAGTTAATTACCTGATTAGAGGTCTTCTCAGGTCGATATTTCTGTATAATAAATCATTTATTCTGAAATTCTAATAAATTTTGGGATACTAGAGTTTTGATTCTCTGAGCTGTAAACCCTAATCATCAATATATAAATGAAATTTTTTTATAAGATTATATTTTTGAATTAAATTATGGAAGAAAATGAACTATTCCACGATATAAGATTCTTTTACCAAACAGGAGCAAACATACCTCGAAGCCCATTGCAGACGTTGCGCAACGTTTCAGGGAAACATGCCGTTCAATCTGAAAACGTTGCAAACCGGTGCAAAACGTTTTCAGATTGAACTCGCCCAGGTTAGCTATTCATTCGACGCGGTTGATTAAAAAAACGCATTGTACGGTATTTACTCACACTAAACACTGTAGCAACACGTCCACAGACAACTGTTGGACAGCACTTTGTGTACGAACATTTATATGAGTCACAAGTACACAGAAGTGCTAATAAACAGTATAACCTACAGCTTTCACTAACTGTTGATACCCCGACAGCCATCTTGGATCACAAAGTCGGGGTATTGCAGGGACTTGAAATGAAAAAAAAATGAAATTGAAATTCCAACTTAAGGGCCCTTTGAAATTTTGACCTTTGAACTCGGAAATTCCGACTTCCCATGTCAATTGTGGTGCGTTCCATTTGACATGGGAAGTCGGATTTTGCTCATTACACAGCTCGCCTGGTCCTCTCCAAATAGTGCTCCGAAGCCGCCGGTGACGTTGTGACAATCTCACCGCTGATAGGCTTTTGCAACATCGTGTCAAGCAAATTTCACGCCCAAATTGAAAAATTTTAACTCCTGCGAACCAGTGAATTTCTCGACAAACGTCTCTTTCGCACCGCCCGGAGCAAATTCGCAGGAATTCGTGTCTTTGCATTAACTTTGTATGTAATCAAGCTGCCCAAACCGCGGGATTCGCTTTGGGTGTGAACACACCTTTAGTGTTTATTATAGTGTTGTGTCATTCAAAGAACGTTTCGTTCATAAGACCTAATCATGTGTATGACTCAGGAGGAACGGGTTGTCTCAGTGAGTGATTCGTTCATTTTCACGCATGCGTGAAGGATCTAGGACTCTTACGTTCACTCGTCAGTACAGGAAACAGAATTGATTATTTCACGACTCTCAACTGTGGGTCTCTAGGTTTGAGTCGTTCATTTGTCACGCGACAGCTCCTACTGTGGAACATGAATGAACGACTCGTTCACCGCTCACTTGGGTCCTCCTCAGTCTTTTGTTCAATCAGCAGGCTGAGTGACTGCCAGCGCCGGAGAATGAGAGGCAGGTCGGCTGTCAGGTAACAGTCACTGGACTGACATTATATAGCTATTTTGTTAATTATGTGACATTTTATAAAGCATAACATTATTACAGCGCAGTGATGTTGTGCTAAGTTGTAGTTTTAACACAGCCACACCGTAACTTTAGTCCTGCTAGTGTTTAACTTTACAGCTAACAGCTGGTGAGAGTTGTTCTGGGTCCACTTCAGAGCCCTGACAGGGTTCTACCTGGAGCAGAATTACCTCCGAGGTCGTCTCCTCTCCAAAACAAATAGACCCGGTCATTAAAACATTAAAACACAGCCACGTAGCAATGTTAGCGTTAGCTCTGTAAACAGCTAACAGCTAATCCAGGTCCACCAGAGAACGCAACGTAACTTTTACTTTTCATTTACCAACAGAGCCGTGCTGTTGTTTCACAGCTTGTGACTGGTGAACAACCTGCAGTGTTTGAGAGCGATGTGCTCATGTGTGTTTCTCTGTCTGCAGAATCAGGACCTGATGTGGCCCATTCTGGGTCCAGACCTGCCAAATTGCTGCGTTTATATGTGTTTATTTCTTTGTTCCTCTCTCTGTGCTGGAGTTCTTTAAGAACTTGGTGGCTTGAGCCAGATTATTATTAAATTGGTTGAATTTTAATAAGAGTGTGTTTATTCATATAGTGTATCAAGCTTATTGCTTCAATATATTTACTGCAAATCTGATATTAATAATGATAGTAATTATATACATAAGCCTTTATATGGCTGGTCTGGTTGTATACTACTCGGGAAAGATTGTGAAAATGGAAGGATTTAGCCGGAGTAGTGGTGATTACATATTGACAACATATTTCTGTGGTTTTTACATGGTTTAAATTTGGTTGTGGGCCGAGGGGGGTTTATAAAATGATGATATACAGTAATCAAGCGGTGAATTTGTGCATTATACTTTGTCAAATAAAGCAAGCCAGGCAGCCTTCCGTGTTTGAGAACGGCGCTGTTTTTTAATCGCCCACTAGAGGGCTGCAGCGCCACAATAACCAGCCTAGTTCAAATGAACGAAATGACTCAAAAAAAAGATTACTTAATTTTAATGAACGAGATTTGAATGAACGAGTCTGTCAAAAGACTCAAACTTGCCATCACTAGTTTATTAGTGGTGGGCAAGCCGGCTGAAAGATGCATTACCACCGCCACGGTAAAAGAGCTTTTGCTCCACTGTTTTGCTGCTCCAGTCAGAAAGACGGAGGGGAAATGAAACAAAGTTGAACTTCGTTTAAAAACCTAAAAGACTTTTGACAAAACATTCTGGGCTTAAGCCCAATTAGCCACCCCCCCCGCTCCGCCTATGGTTGGAACCCTATGGTTGGAACAGCACGAGCCGACACTCACTCATCTGAAGCCACTTATTGGTGAATGTTTGAGCACGCCTATTATTTTAAAAATCAACATATATACACTTAGAATTTGAACAAATTGAATGTAAACTATGTTATGAAAATATAGCTCCAATAGTGAGATGGAAATGGAGGGATCGGTCAAATGTATCCCACTGTTACACAGTGCTTCAGACAAAACTCTCTTCAGAAAAACTATATGGTTCTTGTAAAGCAATAACACACGATCAAATCATCATGATACAATTCCACTGCTGATAAATTATTATATTGAATTGAGGTGGGCAGCAGTGGGCGAGAACATTCATAGTCCTAAAAAGTCCTGGATGTACCACAAAAAAACATTTCTGATTTGGAGTTTCAGTCACAACTTAACAAGCATCACTGAAGCAGCACTTGACATTGTAATGCCTACTTGCACTAATTCTGCTTTTCATTCACACTGCTTTTGATACCACTGATCAGCTTATACTGCTCGATGAGATAGGATACTTTAGTTGGCATATCTTGAATACCCATTAAGTACATTTTCTTCTGTTCAGTCTGACAGAGCATTTACATCCTTATCAATCTTAACTGATGCATGACTCCTTCATGAATCACCAGTTGATCCGTTTGTATTCATCTCTTACAGTCTGATCTCTTTCAGTTGAAATAGCCTCTTTGCTACGTAAACATGATTGCCCGATTGCCACTAAGACCTGCACAGCACAGAATTTCCTTTAACTATCCTAAAACAAGCAACAACAAAAAAAACAAAATTCTTGTACGTGGCCCTGACATGTCATAAAACATTTACAACCAAGCACAGGAGGCCATGACTTTCATTATAAAATTGTACTCCAAAATGCCTGCATTATCTTTAATTCTGCACTCAGGTTTGAAAGAAAATACAAGCATGTACACTGTAAAAATTATCAAGGCGGTTCAACTTAAAAACTTAAATTGCTGCCTTAAAAATGTGAGTAAACTCAACTTTAAGAAAAGCTCTGTTTCAACTCATCATGTTACATTATACAATTTGCTTAATTAATAATATATTGTTTGAACTTTGAACTGAATACTGTGAGTTAAAACAACTATCTATATTACATTGTCCATTCAAGGAAACTTGCTTTTTCTTGTCAAACAAACATACAATTCTACACCTTTCAACTCACATTTTTAAGTTCAGATAACTAAATGTAAGACCTTTAAAGTTAGTTTAACTTGGAAATGTAAGATCACCTGCTGCCTTGAAAATGCAAGTTAACTCAACTTAAAGATTGCCTTTGTTTCAACTCAAATTCAAGTTCATAAAGGTGATATAACTACAGGGTTCTAGTTGTCTCAATGTTTTTTTTTATGTTAAATTAACTTTTTATAACTTCAACTTCATACTCTGAGTTTTTCTAACTGATAGTTTCAAGTTAAAGCAACTTAACTAAATTAATATTACTTTCCATTTCAAGTTAAGAAATTACAGTTTCAGTTTACATGTATAAAGGGCCTTGCAGACAGACCACAACAACAGCAGCACTGCGCTATTATTTTCAGTGACTTGCGACGGGGCAGAGCAGCTTGTTGGTGCCCCCGTGCACACCACAGTCAAAGTTCAATATTGCAGCAGATATCACCTCCTTAAAGGTTCAGTGTGTAATATTTCTGAGGATTTATTGACAGAAATGCAATATAATATCTATATCTACATATAACTATGTTTTCAGTGGTGTGTAAAGACCTTACATAATGAACCATTATGTTTTTATTACCTTAGAATGAGCAGTTTATATCTACATAACCGCGGGCACCCCCTTCTATGGAGGTTGCAGTATTGTGTCTTCATGTTTCTACAATAGCAGATAATGGACAAACAGCGCTACAGAGCGTGTTTTGTCATCACAGCGTTCTTCTTCTGCTTGTATAATTCCGGCAGTGTTGACGCCCATCACTACATTAAATGTGTCCGTATAAGAAGAAGAGGAAAAATAATAATAATAATAATTAACAGTCTCTGAGCAGTCCTCTGGCCCTGTTTCAGAAAGCAGGCTTAACAAACTCTGAGTTTATCCCTGAGCTCTGGTTTGATTGAGCCTGAGGTGGGAAACTCTGAATTTTCAGTTCCAGAGCAATCAGAATAAGTTCAATCAACCCTGAGTATGTTGAGCCTGATGGAAGCGTGTGCGTGGGGATGAAAAAAAGGCATCATCAAAGGAGGAAATGATACTACAATTCACCATGGCAACGGGTAAATAAAGGCAGAGCCTCCATTTTAATCGGGTAGAGCTAGAAATATGAATGCGTGCCAACGTGGACCATGATAGGCTCTAAAACGCAGGAGTGGAAGAAGGATCAATGCGTTAACATTATTAAGCTAAGCTACTATAGAGCCTTGCTCATTCATCATTTACCAGACTGGAGTTTACTCGTGAACCTGTGATTGTAAAGTCACAGTCACACCCAGCAGGTTAGCCTATTAATTATTTTTTTGCAGTGGAAAATGTGTCAATAGGTTAATAAAGTTTTAGACGTCTATTTTACATTTATAAAATCTTGCTCATTTCGTATTTTATTAATGCTGTCAAAACACATTCAGACTATCAGCAGTAGGCCTAACAATGAAAAACTCACTTTTAAACCTTATGTTGCAGCCAGGAAACACAGACAGGCGCTCGAGAACTTGTAGTGGGGTTTTATTGCTGTCTTCCACAAGATTTAGCAGTGTACAACAACCTTTACCGGCCTGTAAACTTCTCGGCTGCCAAAAGCTAATAGCGTCTTCTTGTAACTCTTCGTGAACACGGGGTATAACAAAAACACAGAGCAGGATAGCTCTTCTTCTACTACTATAAATCGATGCTTACTCACCAACGCTACCTGGTGGTGACAACTGTGCAGCGCATTTCAAAACATCCTACTTCTGTTGGGCGTTGAATAACATTGCAGCACACATTGAAATTGAATAGAAAACTTAAAAAAAATAAATTGTGGGGTCCCTTACACTCTATTATAACACAAACTATATTCTGTAGAACTGAACAATCTGCGGACCAGCAGTTTCTCTCCTCTCACACTTATTTAGGCCTATTTGTTGCAGCTGCACCACAGTCATCCTCAGTCAGAAATAGTCACATTAGCCTTAATTAACATAATGAACATGTTCATTGATCAGTTTTATAGGTTACATATTAAATAGTGATTACTGCAGTAACGTAGCCCACAGTAAGTGTTTTCAGTGCAACTGTCCACAGAGTCGCAGCATTATAGGCTACCTAAAGACGGACATAGATTTTATTCTGTGCTGAGGATAAATCCACAATGTGCAGGGATCTGTCTTTACATCGATGACAGATTGATCATAAAGCAGTCATGTTCAAGATCATGTTTGGGTAACAAACTAAATGCCTATCTAACCAGGATTTTAAAGTTTTTAAAGATGTAAATGCGTTCAGATTTGTGCTTTGATATCGACAGAATGAATGAGGAAATGAAACGGTGTGTCAGAAAGCCGCCTCAGGCTCCGCAGGAGGGGAGGAGTCAGAGAGAAACTGACGTTTTTTTCAATTTACATCAGTTGCCGGAGTTACTGATCTAGGGATTATCTGATCTCGCTCTCTGAAACAGAAAACCCAGAGTTTCCCTCATCCCAGGCTCAACATACTCAGAATTTCCACTAATCCCGCTTTCTGAAACGGGGCTCTGGTTCATTAGAAGTAAGAAGAGGGTTGGCTTTTCCAGTTACGTTAGCGAGACAATCAACTGATATTTGGTAAAACGGTAACATTAGCTACAGCATGGAAGCAATCAGCCAGCTAAACCTGACAATGCATTTGTAAACTTCATGTATTATGTAGTTTATAATGGACTGTGGTGCAGAATCAGTGAGGCTTACAGTTATTGGTCAGTGGTCATACTTGATGCACTAGATGTGATAGTTTTTGAGATCTTCTTCATTTACTTTGGTATGTTAGTCCAGATGAGCCAACCCTCCCAAGATGTAACAAAAAGTATGATTACAGTACAGTAAAATAATGAATTACAGGAGAATGAGACATCATGTAACACTTCATTTCTTGATGTGGCTGTTGTTTATTGAACAAGTAACAATAATATTCACAATAACATATGGTTTTACTGAATAATCAAGTAAATATAATTTCTTTATAAATTAATGTAAAAAAAAAAGTGACTTCTTGACTGGCAACTCTCTGCTTTCTCACACAGGACATCTTTTGTCCTGTCTCAGGCACTGTAGCTATCCAGCTCGCTTGGATAGGAGAGGGGGGGCACAATTTGTAACTCTCACCACTAGATGTCATTAAAACTTACACATTGAACCTTTAAGGCCGTTGTCAGGAACCCTTTCCACTGATGGCACTAGTCTTGTTTACCACAGAAGTGTCTATATTTTGGTTGGAATGTGTATAATTAGTAGGGATGAGCAAGAACACCACTATCTCTATAAAGACTCCAATTCCTGTTAAAGAGGATAAACCAACATGAAGACCAGAGAGCTGTCTATGGGAGAAAAGCAAGCCATTGTCAAGCTGAGAAAAGAAGGAAAAATTGACCAGAGCCAGTGGACAAACATTGAGCATAGCAAGCACAAAAATTTGGAATGTCCTGAAAAAGACAGAAACTACTGGTGTACTGAGCAACAGACATCGAACAGGTCTGCCAAGGAAAACAACAGTAGTTGATGACAGAAATATCGTGAGAGCTGTGAAGAGACCCCCAAAACATCAGTAAGTGACATCACCAACAACCTCCACAGTGCAGGGGAGAAGGTATCACAATCCACTGTTGGAAGAAGACTCAGAGAGCAGAAATATAGAGGCCACACCACAAGATGCAAACCACTCATCAGCTGTAAGAATCAGAAGGCCAGATTGAAATTTGCAAAGAAGTACAGAGATGAGCCGCAAAAGTTCTGCAACACAATCCTATGGACTGATGAGACCAAGATTAATCTCTACCAAAGTGATGGAAAGAGTGTGGAGAAAGATAGGAACTGCTTATGATCTGAAGCATACAAGCTCATCTGTGAAGCATGGCGGAGGTAATGTCATGGCTTGGGCCTGCATGGCTGCTTCTGGAACAGGCTCATCAATATTTATTGATGATGTAACTGATGATGGTAGCAGCAGAATGAATTGAGAAGTGGACAGAAACATTTTGTCTGCCAATTTACGGAGAAATGCATTGAAACTAATTGGGAGGAAGTTTATCATGCAGCAGGACAATGACCCAAAGCACACTGCCAACAAAACAAAGGACTTCATCAGGTGGAAAAAAGTGGAAGGTTTTAGACTGGCCAAGTTAATCACCTGACCTTAACCCAATAGAGCATGCATTTCAACTCCTTAAGAAGAGACTGAAGGGAGAAACACCCCGAAACAAACAAGAACTGAATGAAGCTGCGGTAAAAGCCTGGAATCGCATCACAAATGAAGAATGCAACAGTTTGGTCGATGGGTCGCAGGCTTGAGGCAGTTATTGCAAGCAAGGGTTATGCCACCAAATATTAAATGTTATTTACTTTAAGATTATTTCTTCCATTACTTTTGCTCCCCTAAGAATGCTGTGGTCTAATACAAACAGTGATATGTACTTAGTTGTTCACATCTAGATGCAACACATCTAGATGTGAATACCAGGAAATAAAAGCTGAAATTCTAAACTCTTGTCTCATACTCATCTTTTGATCTTAAACCCAAATGTCTTCAGTGAACAACAAAAACAAAGGAATTTGCCTTACCGTTCCAATACTTTTGGAGGGGACTGTATTTACAACTTTTAGGATACGCTGCTGTTAGGAAATTGCGGTAAACAAACTAAACTGGACTCTGCTCAGTCCTATTTTTGATGTCGTCACACAGAAGTCTTGGGTTTGGAAAAGCTTTTCAAGCCTCATCTTGACTGCACCATGCTGATTTTTCTTTAGAAGTTCATTGTTTTTCATTTCCTCATCATCTCCTGCTGTTTACTTACTTATGTGAATCCTGAGGACAATCCGGGTATACCAGCAATCGCCAAATATTTCAACACAAAAGGGAGGTATGAGGAAGTGAACCCGTATCTCAGAGAGGACATACTTGCTGTAAATGGATCTATTTTGCAGCCTCCATCTGCACAATGTCAAGAAATTCATCTGACTGTGATAATAAGACACGGCACAAGGTACCCGACGACCAAAAACATCAAAGTGATGCAGCAGCTCTACAACATCGTCCTGCACAATGCCTCAGGCAAAGAGAGCTGGCTGCGTGAGATCCAGACCCAGTGGAGGATGTGGTACACCGAGGACATGGATGGCCGACTCGTCCAAAAAGGTGTGAACGATCTCAAGCATCTGGCCATCAGGCTTTCAAAGCTGTTCCCCTCGCTGATTTCGGAGGAGAAGCTCCGAGGTGGTTTCTTCAAATTCATAACCACCTCAAAGCACAGGTGTGTCAACAGCACACTGTCATTCAAGGCAGGACTGACAGAGCTGTGGGCTATTACAGGTATCACTATGATGAGATGATGCACTGTTATGATGATTTACCACTTTCATGCATTTTCAGTTTAACCCTTTTCCCCAGATATGGAGTTTGACTACGCAGTGAATGATGCTCTCATGAGGTTTTTTGACCAGTGCACCAGGTTTGTGCAGGAAGTTGATAACACCCCTCAGCTCTGTCTGAAGTTGACAAGTTCAAACAGGGGCCAGAGATGAGGAGGGTCCAAGAGAAGATCGCCGACCGTCTCAGAGTGCCGTACAGTCTCATCACACATGGTCATAGCTGCTGAAATACTACCTCTTTACACTGTTGAGTGTGTTGTGTGCATGCACTCTAAAGTATTTATCCTTTGTCATAACTCAATCCATGCTCACAGTGGACTCATACACTGGGTTTCTTAAATGACAGATCAAGATTATTGTCCTAAAAATCAAAAGAGAAATTCCAGATTCTTGAGTAAATTTGCTGTTAATCCAAGCATTGTAAATTTACACTATCAAATCTGTGTCACTGCCTGAAACAGACTAAAGGCTCATGCATATTGATTAGATTAGATACTTTATATCAGCTATTATATATCCACTGGGTGGAGCTATTTTCTAATGTGGGAGTAGTAAGGCCTCTGCACCACTTAAAGTGGACATTGTCATTTATTTACTAGCGTAATGTGCTGCATTTCATGTGTTATTTCACCACTAAACATTTTATACCAACCTGCATCCTCTCCTGCAGATATGACTCAGGCTGCATTTTACTTGTGTGCTTATGAATTTGCAATCAAGGCGGCGAACTCCCCTGGTGTCAGCTCTTTGATGAGGAGGGTGCAAAGGTAAGGAGCAAATAGTGGTCAACTGTGTGTAGATTTAATGTGGCAGCGGCATCAAATGCTTTCCTTAATTCAGCTATGATGTTTATGAGGATGACTACAGTCTGTCAGGAGATATTTGTGGGTCAGAAACACAAACTGCTTGTTGGAAGTTCATTTATTTATAGAGTCATTTATTACAGTGAGAACAAATGGGATTGTACAGTAGGTCTTTTTCACAGGTATGATAGAAAAAGCACAGGTGTTACTAACAAAATTAACTGTGGCTCTGTTCTTTTCAAGTGTCCCATTAAGCCATGACAGTGTGACAGTGGGCCAGCATGCACAACACCAGGACCCTGAAACAGAAGTAGCTAAATTGAATAAATCTGTCATTAATTTATTACATCTCTGCTTTTCCTACTGTGACATGTTAAAATGTCTTCTGTGACACTGCTGAAACAGCCATACATTGCAAATTGTCTATACTCTGCAACATAAGCAGCACATTTATTTATAGAGCTCTTCATCACGAGTTTTTTCTACATAAGCAAATATTTTTACAATTTATCACAAGCAAGTCTCCTTGGAATTTACAAAGGGAGAAACAGAAACACAGATGCAGGAGGTAAAAACAAGCACGGGGTTAGTGTAAGTCTTTGTGATTAGGTTTAGAGTTTATTTTGCCATAATGTCTCAACAGAGAGGCGCTTCTAGAGACCGGGGCGGCCAGAGGAGCACTTGGGTCAACCGGGGCCACAGGGACATACAGATACTCAACCAACTATTGAATCCAACACAAACAGGACAACGCAAACAAACAGCTCTATCTAATCTAGGTCGGAGGTTCTCAGAACCCTAGATAGCCTATTGCTTGTTTCCAAGAAAGGAAAGAGGAATATGAATATTAACCAGTGGCATTTCTCCAGGAAAAACATAAAATGCCAATGCATTACCTTCTCTCAAACCATTTATTCAAACCCTTCGGCATTGTATGTATAAGAGTGTTTTGTGTTACTGTATGTGCTGATCTCAGATTGCTATCTTAGGATATTCCTCTTTTAAAAGTGTAAAGCTCACCCACATACAGGCCACCTTTGAACTATCTGTATAAACAGGTTATGGAGTATGCAAGTGACCTGAGGGAATTCTGGAAAAGAGGCTATGGTTATGATATTAACAGCAAGTCGAGCTGTGCTCTCTTCCATGATGTGTTTAGTCGACTGGACAAGGCAGCCAGCGAAATCAAGTAGGTGGACTTTAAATTACCTGCAGTCCATTCGAACGAACTTGCTGAAGACCTTGATGAAAACCTTCAATTAAAAAAACACCTACATCATTAATTTTATCTGCTTGTCCTCCAGTCTTAGTTGTCTTGCTGTTGTCAAAGGTTAAATGTCCTAAGTCTAGGTTATATTCTGAACTCCACTTGTCCTGCATGTCAGCTCAGGCCAGCAGGTGACTGAAGCCGTGACAGTCCAGGTTGGCCATGCAGACACCCTCCTGCCGCTGCTTACCCTCCTGGGCTTCTTCAAGGACAACGTTACCCTGACTTCCACCAACTACGCCACACAGGCCAAACGCTCCTTCCGCACCAGCCACATGTTACCCTATGCAGCCAACTTACTCCTGGTGCTATACGACTGCGGGGGAGGCGACCTGAGGCTGCAGCCGCTGCTCAACGAGAAGCCTGTGACTTTCCCCGGTTTGACTGACCAGCGGGCTTCCATACCGCTCTATCAAGACGTCAGAGGGCACTACAGTGATCTACTCAAAGGCTGTGACTTTGAGACTGAGTGTCAGCTGTTCAAGCATCCTGCTGAAGTTTAGACAGACAGGGCAGATTCTGGAGATGGTTCTGGAGTCATAGCAGCTTGGTTCTCCTTTATTAGCAGAAGGTAATAAATATGCTCCCACCATGAAAATGTGAATAAGCAATTTTGTAATTGTTCTGTTTTGGAAATGTTAAAGATGAATGTCTTACTTTGATCACTTTCCTGCTTACTGCAATAAACACTTGAAATAAAGATTAAGTTATTACTAAATGTGTTTTTGTTTAGTTTTTTTTACTGAGAGTTTACTTTCTTTCCATAGTTATGGCAAATCAATAGAAAAAACTATAATATAGAAAACCATCTAATCAGTTATTAATAACTTTCTTAGTAGGAAAACTATTGACTTTTGATTTGTCTGGAGCTGCCAAAAATGTTTCATTGTGGCTGGGAAAATGTGGTTTATATGAACATATATCAATATGCAATAGTATCTGGATTTTGTTTTACTAGGAATAACTTTTACATGAGGTTGCAGACTTCCCCTCTAAACGTCTTTTCTAAAAAGAGGGAAAATTATCAACTATTTAACACAAAACGGCAGCAATTTGAGAAAAGTCTTCGGTAACACTGTTATGGCTTCGCTATGTGGGGATAAATGTGCCGGTTACGTTCGTGAGACAATTAGCTGATTAGTATTCTTGACCGCAAAACAGCAAGTTAGCCTACAGCATAACAGCTCATATTAGCCAGCTAAAGTTTTACTACCCTATTAGAAGAAATATGTAACATTAGTTGGGTTGTTATTTCGAAGGTTGTTCTCCAGCGCTTCGGCTTCGTTTAGTAAACAGAAATGTGTCTTTTGTGTTTGTGAGACAATCAGCTGATGATTAAAAAATTAGCTGAAAAACCGTAACATTGCATGGAGCATGGTGGCTCAGATTAGCAAGCTAAATGTTTAAACACAGCATTACGATAAAAACACTGCGTGCTTATCAAGTGACTAATTATGCTTATTGTCAGAATTTACATTAGAAACAACGTATTTGTTTGTATTGCTTCTAGGGTGCATACAAAGGTTACCACAAGCTCAAATTATGGCACTCAGTACTTGACTATGGCTTTGTAAACCTACCCATGATGTGTTTTACAATGGACTGTGGTACAGAAACAGGGACATTTTTACACACTCTTGGCTTACGTTTTCCATGTTGTCTGTCGGTGATCATACTTGCACTAGATGTGATAGTTTTTGGGATGTTCAATTTATTAGGCAAGATGAGCAAACCCTACAAAGATGTAACACATTGTGGATTACAGAACAGTAATGTATTACAGTCATGTAGCACTTCATTTATTGAGGCTGCTGCTGTTTCTCCAGCTACGAGACAGGTCCTGCAACATCGACTCCCTTGAAGAGAAAACCTTTGCAAGTCCCAGCTCCAGCATTGTCTAGCATTGGTGCTTCTAGTGGAACAGACCGGTAAGTCATGCATAACAATATATTAATTTTGTCCTAATAGCTTTGATTAGAAACATGAACTTTATGATTAGTGTGTAATAGTGTGTTATTTTATTTTTGGTCTATATCTACTGTTGAATGCGAATATGTGGGATTTACACAACTTGCTCTGGTTATTCTTTACAGAGATGAGAATCTTGATGTCATTCCAGAAGCCAACGAAATTCAGGGCCTTGAACAAAGGTAACATTTACACATCATAACTTTTAGCCCTGTATTGCTTTTCTCCAAATGTTCATAATATATATTTGTAATATGTTTTTTGCAGCTTACATGACTTGAGCATTGTTGAGGAGGACTTGGAGGAAAATGTTTTCAATGACCCAATGAACAGTGTGTAAGTAGTACTTCCTAATTACATGTATTATTTTTCAGTGATATTATTTGAGAACTTGTTTTTATCTGAAAGTTGTCATTATGTAAAGAATTGATTGGGCAGATAAAGCTTCATCTTACTCCCTTGAAAGAGATGATGGACAGAATGGTTTCAGCTCTGATGAAGAGGATCTTCCACCGATTTCTATACGGTGTGTTATTTGTCAGTCTCAATTTGCAATTGTTTTGTGGTGTTTGTTTACTACAGATTTTTGTGCCTGAATAGAATGGGTGGAGCACTGAAGAAAGCACACTCTATCGATGGACTTCCTTGCCTGGGTCTGTACTAATGGACACAGCTTGTGGAATTCCCAGCCTGTGATGAAGTTTGGGATGCAAGCTGGAGATTTTCTCTTGTCCACCAACATTTTGTTGTCTGTCAACAACTACGCAAAGGTTGGCCTCTTGTTCAAATTCATGAACACGGGGATGGTGAACAGAAACACTTTCTTCTCCATTCAGGACACTTACTGCGTCAATACAATAAAGGACTTCTGGGAAGAGAGAAGGACAGAGGTTCTTTGTGGCCTTCAAGGGAAAGATGTTGTTGTCCTAGGTGTGTAGTTGATACTGTATTATGTAACATAGCTATTGAATACACTAAGCAATGACAGTATGGAAACAACTATTAACTGTTTTTCTGTTGAATTATATTTTAAAAAATTTCAACGGATGGCAGAAATGACTCTCCTGGTCACTGTGCACAATACTGCAGCTACACCACCATGGAGAATGACACCAAGGAGATCATTCATGTTGCCACCATAGACAAGCGGCAAACATCATGGAACTCTGTCATCATGGAGAAGGAGGGTTTCATCCAGATTGGACAAGCTTACATCAGAAATAAAGCTAGTGGAGATCTGCACAGATGCTCATGCCCAGATTGGTGCCCTTATGAGTAAGTATTCATGTGATATATTGTATGGATGAATGTGTATAACAGCAATATAAGTATTATAGTAACATGACATTATTTACCGCTTCATAGACCCAGACAAAGGCAAATACAAGGCCCTTGGAATTCATCACAGTCTGGACATGTGGCATGGTGCGATGAACTTTGCCAAAAAAATAGCAGCAGTAAGTGTAATAACTGGCTAATGTTGTGAAACACTTATTAACCATAAAGTTACTATTCTGTACATCAGGGTTATTGAACTATGTGCAGTTGATGGATGACGGTATGGAAGTTTTCATTGCACTCAAAGACAACAGATTTTGTTTACTTTCCTCTGCCAGAAGATGTGTTACTCATTCTAGACATTTGGTGTAGTCATTTTTGCGTTTTCTTTATTTTTTTGGGGGGGAAGCTTTAGTGGATATAGTTCTCGATAAGAGGTGGCAGAAAGATGTTCACAACTATCTGCGAATCAGGTAGTGTGGCTATACTTTTTCACACTGATGTATATTAGTAATATTTATGCTTACTGCTCATGTACACAGAAGTATGTATTTGTTTGTTCTATCAGATCGACTGCAGACCTAGAGTCAATCCAGAATCATATCCTGATGTATGCCAGCAAGCGCTAAGAGTTCTGCTTGCTGCTTTGGACTAAAGTTTCCACCGGAACCGACCAACAATGAAAACGTTGGACGGCAAAGAGATGTACGTTTTACACTTGTATAATATTCCCATTCAGAGTACAATATTCAGCCCATGTTTTATATGCAATTGATTGTCTTTACACTCAAGGTTTTCTCTTGTTCTACTTACAAACTGATACGGTAGAAGATACAGCGTATATGCCTTGAAATCTGAAAAAACCTACGGATACATTTCCAAGTTGCAAAGAAGGATTGTGAAGAACACACTCACAAGTGGAGTGGGGATGCCTAGAAGGAGGAGCCTTCTCCCAGATGACCCCAGACAGCTTGGTTTGGTGCCCCCCCGTACCTGCACCAGCCACATCAGATTTGTTGTTGTTGAGACAAGTCAGAAGAGGTCTATGTAAGTTACACAAATTTGTTGCCTATGTTGTACCATATTACATGTCACTGAATGATAGTTACAGACTATGTTGTAATGTAAATATGTTTGATGTCTTCAACAGGACCGTTTATTCCAACCAGCATCTGATATATATATATATATAAAGTTACTTAGTAAGTTGTCCGTCAGGCAGACATGTGCAGTGTAGGTCACAGTGTGTCCGTTAAGTCTGCTGGAAAAGTGAAGGCGGTTAGCGCTAGCTAACAGATCCCCGGTCTGTAAAGCACGGTTTTGGCTGCAGTGTAACGTTAGCGAAATTAGTAACGGAGTAATGTTAATTAGTTGCGTGTCATTACTACATAACTTATTGAGGAATGAGAACAGCAGGTTGAAGCTAAACAGGTGTCCTGTACACATACTGTACATCCTGATAGTTAAGTTAAATTATATTTCAGTGTCCAGAGGACAACTGGTTATTAAAGGAAGGACGCTGGTGACCACGGAGGAGCTGAGGCTACTAAAGTAAATCAGGGATGTAAACTAGTCCTTTTAAGCAATTGAGGAGACATTTCTTTTGGATTTTAATGTGTAAACGAAATGCTTAGTAGTTATCCAGAATTTTCACAAGATGGATCACCGCCCTCTGAATTGTAATCAAATCGAATCGTGAGGTGCCAAAAGATTCTCATTCCTACTGCCCAAACAGTGTTCCCATTCAATTACTTTAAAATGTCTTTTAATAGTCTACGTTTTGTGAAGTGGTTGTCTTTAATTGTCCACTGCATCTGTTAGGGCCTGTCCATAGGCTCGCCATTCATCTGTGACAACATCTGAGCCTCTTCTTACATGATGCTGGTCGGCAACAGGTCTTCTCTTGAGCGATCTTTCACCACCCTGAGAATGGGTGTCCTTGATGTAATTATGTTGTGTTTTTGTGCTAAAATGTAAAATGTTCAAAATTCATAGAGATTGTTCATAAAGTGAAGAAACATAAATAAAAGTTGTTTTCCTGCGCTAAATGCGTGTTGCTTTACTTAAAGCAAACAATTACGTGTTATAAGGTCTTATAATTAGTTCATATGGTATTATGTCCATCTGTAATATATTATACAGGGATAGATATTTTAACACTTTACTTACAGCAAACAAAGACATGCTATTATTCCATTTTATATCACCAATTGTAAATGGTGACTAAAGTGTATTAATAACGAGGCAGAGGCGGTGGTTATAATGTATTATGGAACATGGTCGGAGATTCTTGCTGCACATTGACATAAACTGGTATTACTATTAGTTATAAAACATTAAATCAAAAGGTTATAATACTTTATGAACTTTGCTATAGCATCTAATGCATGTTTGTAAGTGATTATAACAACTGTTATAATGTCTTATGGACGCATTATATCGTGTTATAAATATATGCATAAGTCATTATAGCGACATTTCTCAGATCTACCTTGGAGAGTATACTTAACCACCTCAAACTAGCTCCACCTCAACCAGCTACCAGTGAAATGATGCTTACACATTGATTAGTCTGTATTGATAATGTCATATATAATAATGTATAACAGGAGCCGATTTTGTTAGTTTTAATACATTAGCTGATAGTACTTAAGTAGAACATTAACTACTTGACTCTTACTCGTAGGCTAATTCATTTTACATTGTGTGTAGTGGTACTTTATTACTTAAATAAAGGATCTAAGTTCTTCCACCACAAGCGAGTGATGACAAGAGTGAAATGAGTCTCACAATCCACTCCAACTTGCGTCCCCAATACAAATCAGGTTGTATTTTGTCTAAATGTGGACAAATACTAGTTCCATTTGGTTTTTCATGTAAGGTCAGTTGTTATTAATTATGATTACAATGAGATTGTCTTCTAAGTTGTTTTATTTACATTTTAAAAGCTTTGTTTTAAGAAGTACTATGGGATTTTGCCATGTCCCAGTGTTAATCATTCAACTTAGATCTAAAAATGTATGTATTTGTATATGTATTTCCAAATATTTCATTATTATCTAATTTTAAATTAATCTAGTGTTGTTTTTATCAAAATTGTTAACTTTTGTACCAAAAAACAAGGTTTTATGTTTGTTCCCAGCGACCACTGTCCACCCTGTTGAGTTGCATTAACTGTCCCTTTAAGTGGAAAAAAATAATAATCTCCTTTTCATAATGTGCGCTTGTTTTTCTCAATATAAGCCTAGCCTATGCTAAATTATTTTATTGTAAAACAAATATCTAATAAGAATGAGGGACATATAATTTCTATATAAATGTAATTTTAGTAGCAATCATGCCCTGAAAACACATTTAAACAGTTATGTCTAAGCCCTTACAGGGTTGACATGTCCCCCTTGTCTCATGTTGTTAAAATATCTATATTTAATGCAATCAAGCTCGACCAATATGTTTATCATGAAGTTAGATATATCCTTTATGTAACAGAACTTTAAAATATAGGTACATCAACTATTTATTTATTCCAAGTTATGAAGTCCAAATAGCACCCTATTAAAAAAATGACTTCACCTCTGAAAGTTGGTAGGCCTACTCTGCTGACAAACTACACAGCAGTGTGATGGGTGGTGAAAACTAATGCTAATCAAAATATATAGAAGAGTATAGGGGAGTGTGTCCAGGATAAATCATGCAAGCCTAACTTTTTAAAATATTTTTTTAAGTTGTAAATGCCCTTTTAGAACTGAAGCCAAAGCAGTAGCCCTAATTTCAATGTCCAGTCTATTACGTAACCTCAGTGTCAGTCGACAGCCTCCGTGTAATGGATTGGTTGGTCAGTCGCACATGGACAGCGTCACCCAGTTCAGGTTTTGGGTCTGGTAGATGGGGGTGGGGTGCCCGCGGCCATACATTCAAGCTACCAGACTGCATCATGTCGATCATTTTTTGGAAAACAATTGTTGTTTATTTCACCTCCATACTTGCCTTTTGCTGCTGTTTCCGGAGCAATGTGAACCGCGAGGACAACCCAAACATACCCGCTATCGCCAAATATTTCAGCACGAAAGGGAGGTACGAGGAAGTGAACCCGTATCTCATAGAGGACATACTTGCTGTCAACAGATCTATTTTGCAGCCTCCATCCGCACAGTGTCGCGAAATCCACGTGACGGCCATAATACGACACGGCACAAGGTACCCAACGAGCAAAAATGTGAAGAAGATGCAGAAGCTTTACCAGCTGGTGAAGAGCGGCGCCTCAGGTAAACAGAGCTGGCTGCGTGAGATCCAGACCCAGTGGAGGATGTGGTACACTGAGGACATGGATGGCCGACTTGTCAAGAAAGGTGTGAGCGATCATAAGCATCTGGCCGTCAGGCTTTCAAAGCTGTTCCCCTCGCTGATTTCAGAGGAGAAGCTCCGAGGTGGTTTCTTTAAATTCATAACCAGCTCAAAGCACAGGTGTGTCAACAGCACACTGTCATTCAAGGCAGGACTGACAGAGCTGTGGGCTATTACAGGTATCACTATGATGAGATGATGCACTGTTTTGATGATTTACCACTTTCATGCATTTTCAGTATAACCTTTTCTCCTTTTCCCCTACTTACCCAGATATGGAGTTTGACCACGCAGTAAATGATGCTCTGATGAGGTTTTTTGACCAGTGCACCAGGTTTGTGCAGGAAGTCGATAACAACCCCTCAGCTCTGTCTGAGATGGACAAGTTCAAGCAGGGACCAGAGATGAGGAGGGTCCAGGAGAAGATCGCAGACCGTCTTGGAGTACCTTACAATAACATCACAGATGGTCAGTGGTGGAGGAAGTATTGAGATCGTTTTATTTAAGTAAAAAAAAAAAAAAGAAACACAAAAATCAATTACAACATTGTAAAATAAAGGCGCCCCAATAATAAAGTAAAAGCACTGCATTCAGAATCTTACTGAAGTTAAAGTAGGTAGGTATTTCCCACCATATATGTTAAAGTATCAAAAACGTATGGAGGCATAAAGGGGACTAAATTAAAATTATCATGCAAACTTGAAAATGAAAATGTAATCCCACAATAACATTATTATTTTCCACATATGTATGTGTTATTTAGGTAAAAATTGAATGAAAATGCAATCTGTTGTTTTTATTTTCATATACTTGTGTGAGCATTCTAGGACCATATTAAAATGAAAATGGAAACAGTTAAGTAAACAGCAAAGTACTAACCTTACAGTGTTGCGACTGCTCCTAAAATGACTCACTCAACAGTATACTCCCTCTAGTGGTAAAAGTTGGAAATAACGTCTACCATATCTTACTGAAAAATACACGAAGAAACAAAAAAACCCACTGTTAATAGCAGTATTAACATGAGTTAATGAACAGCCAAGTATAAACCTGTACTTGAGGAGGAGTGAGGAGTCCTCTGTTCTCTTCTGTCAGCCTGGCAGGAAACACCTCTGCTGGCCTGTCTGTAGGAAACACTTGCAGTTTAACCTTAGTCCAATATCATCTCAAGTATGTAGTTATGATTACGGTTTTGCACTGTTCATAACTGTAACTATTACAGCTATGTAGTTGATATGACAGACAGACTGACAGTTCCTATAACATTAACTGTGACGGAGCTGCGGTATTGTCACTAATACTAGTATTGAAGTATATCTCTGAATGAGAATGGGTTTGTATTAGCCTGGGCTTGACACTGCCTAGCAGGGCACTGATGTTACAGCTTTCGGGTATGAGCAAGTTAGCGTTTTTTGCACGTGTGCCATGCATCTACCAGGTAAACTTACATAGGCTACTGCAGCAACAGACACACATACAGGCGACGGCGGGTGGGCTTAATGTCACAATACACAACAGAAACAGCTTGACGTTACAGTAAGCCACATTAGCTGCAGAATATGCTAACGTCAAGTTCAACAGGCAAGTGTTCAAAAAAACAGAAAAGCTACATAAAAATGGCTAAACTTACAGGTTCCAAGTTTGAAGTCGGTATAGTATGTGAAAGTGAAAATGATTGCATTTTCATTTAAATTTTTACCTAAATAACACATACATATGTGGAAAATAATAATGTTATTGTGGGATTACATTTTCATTTTCATGTTTGCATGATAATTTAAATTTAGTCCCCTATATGCTTCCATACAACATAAAGTAAATGTACTACTTAATAACATTCCACCACTGGGGATGGTCAGATTTGTGTTAAGATGATCAATTTTAATAATACTTGCTTATTGAGTGTGTTGTGTGAATGTTACTCTGATTTATTTACCTTTCATTATAAGGTCTGATGTGTGCTCATCCCAAGGTACAAGGTAAATTTATTTGTCATATTACAACAGGTTGTAGCAGACAATATACAGTAATATAAAAAAGGTAAACAGAAATAAACTATATTCAGTGGAGCAGTGCTGAGGATGAGTTTGAGTTTAAGAAGTCTGATAGCCTGGGGGGAAAGGTGCTCTGCAGTCTGGTGGTGCAGCAGCAGAAACTTCTATATCTCTTCCCAGAAGGCTGCAGGGTGAACAGGCTCTGCCTGGGGTGCGTACTGTCCTTAGTATGCACCTCATCTCACCGATATCACTGATGCTCTATAGATTGGTACCAATGATCTTTTGAGCAGTTTTAGCAGCAGAGTCCTCTGGTCCCGGGCCGTGCAAATCCCATAGCAGTTTGTGATGTTTTCAGTCAGGATGTTTTCTATTACTCCTCTGTAAAAGCTGACAAGAACTTGGCACAGGAATACTTACAGCGAGAGTTGTTTGAGTGTATTTGTCCTATAGTCCAAGCACAGTAAATGGTAACTTTATATATTTTACACTTAGTAATTTCCTTAGAGATTTTCTGGAAGAAAAAATGTGTAAATATGTAATTTGGTGCTGATTCTGATTCTAAATGCGCTGACTTTATACACAGTCACTGGTGGAAAAAGTACTACATTGTGGTGTAATAAGTAAGTAAAACTTATTACACAATGTAGAAAAACTATGTTTCCATCGAAATTCCTGCCTTCCAAATTTTACTGAAAGAAAAGCACAAAGGTATGGGAAGTTTAGCATCACAATATATATTTAAATTACAAAAAGTAAAAGTACTCATTATGCATAAAAGCCCTTTTCAGAACAATATATATCATATTATTGGATTATAATTATTTATGTAGTAATATGTACTTTACTAATGTGGCAGCTGGTAAAGACGGGACTTGTTTTTTACTATATATATGGATAACTTGTGAATTTAACCAAGGGATTAATAAAGTTTTATCTGTATCCATAATAATGCATTATCATTTATTTGTAATTACATTTTCTATTAATAATCTGAATCTGCAAAGTAACTAGTAATTAAAGGCATCAAATAAATGTGAAAAGTACAATATTTGCTTCCAAAATGTTGAGTAAAAGTATATAGTGGAAAAATGGAAATACTCAAGTAATATACCTCAAAATGTCCTGTACACAGTTGCTGACATTCAGAGGATCTTCCTTAAACACTGACCCATTTAAATCCATTCATTATTCATCTATTATTGAAAACTTTATTTTCCATAAATGTTGGACTGTATGTTTGCCTTGCCACGCAACAAATTTCACATTTTTGGATTTTCAACTCACCTGCTGTGCACAGACTAAAATATTCACTCAGTTACACTCGCACATAATTGGAAATAATTAATTAAAAATGTCCCAATTCAACACTTTCTCATAATTAGTACCAAATTACACAGTAATTTCTTGGGACTTCCCACTGAATTCACAGATACATGTCAGTTCCTTTCCAGGATAATATAGGAAACTATGCTCCACCTCTCCCCCTAAAGTGTTAGTCAGTAAAACTTTTGTCACAGCCTGAAAACTGTCTCAAATGCTTCTAACGACACAAGGTGTCGTGTGCAGAACATCCCATTGGTCATATTTCACAGTGAGTATGTGCACAGTAGGTGGAGCTGTTTTGTAATTTGAAGGCATTGAAACTCCACTAGACTTAGTTGTAGCCAATTTTGATTTTATTTTGGGGCCTTGAATAAATGTCACATGTCTTGAACTGGTGCACCATAGTCGTTAGCTTCTAAGATAAAATTGATTACTTCCCTGTGTTTTTGTGTGTTTGTTTTAATGTTTGCCTGGCCTGTCTGATTTCGCTACTTATTAACATTTTATTTCAACCTTTCTCCTACAGATATGGCAGAAGCCGCGTTTTACTTGTGTGCATATGAGTTTGCCATCAAGACTGTGAACTCCCCCTGGTGTCAACTCTTCGATGAGGTTGATGCACAGGTATGGGCCTCGGCTAGATTATATGTAATATATCGGTGTCATCAAATGTCTGTGTTTATTTGTCTTTAATTGGCGTGCAGGTGAGATTCCAACTCTCAACTGCACGCCTCTTACTCCCATAAACTCCTCTGACTCTCATGTTGAAGGGTCAGAGGAGTTTATGGGGGAGTAACCTTAGGTACAAACTGCGAGTACTCGACCAATCAGAAATGTTCAGCGAGCCCCCTCCCCAAAGTTCTTATACATTTGAAAATTACTACCCCCTGTGTAGTAGTGTAGTGGGACTTTTTAGGGGGTAAAATAATGTCCCCAGAACATAATTTAGACCCTGGTCCCTGTGAGTTTTTCTAAAAGTTCTTAGTCCCTGGGGAAAGATCCTGTGTTGAAAACACAGCTTTAGACCTCAAACTTTACCCAGGCCCCCTATACTACATCTGTTGCATTACATCTTCCCATGTACTCTGTATTGTCTCTATAAATAAACAAATAAATGCAATGAATATAAAAGGGAAGAAACATATGAAAGGCTAAGTTAGAGAAAGATTCCTGCCTTACCTACTACTTTGTTAGAAAAGTAGCAGGTAATGCTTTCTCTGCTTTGCAACAGTACTGAGCTGTTAATGTTTGCCAGTATTTATGTCACAAAGAGTGCATTGTGTCTTGTGCTACGAGCTGACCCAACACTCAGGTAGCCTGAAATCTTACCTCACAAACCAGAAGACTGACACATTATTTTTTGTAGTCTTCACTCCACATCCGGACAAGCAATCTTTTGTAACATCTGCACCAACAGGTCATGGAATACGCAAATGACCTGAAGCAATTCTGGAAACGAGCCTATGGTTACGATATTAACAGTAAGTCGAGCTGCATTCTCTTCCATGATGTGTTTAGTCGACTGGACAAAGCAGCTAAGGAGAACAAGTGAGTAAAACCTAAATTAACTTGGTGTTACTCTGTATTTTGGCTAACAAATCCCATGTAAACACCAAAATCAACAATGCATTTGTCTGTCTTTCAGTTCTTTCCATCATCCTTTGGCTCTCTCAGTGCAACTGTGTGGCTCACTGATATATTTTTAATAAATGTTGGGAGGAAATGAAGGTCTATGTAATAAGATACAGTATCTCACAAAAGTGAGTGCACCCCTCACATTTTAGTAAATATTTGATTATATCTTTTCATGTGACAACATTAAGTAATAACACTTTGCTACAATGTTAAGTAGTGAGTGTACAGCTTGTATAACAGTGTAAATTTGCTTTCCCCTCAAAATAACACATCACACAGCCATTAATGTCTAAACCGCTGGCAACAAAAGTGAGTACACCCCTAAGTGATTATGACGCTGAGCATGTGCTCTCAACTTCTTTGGTCGACCATGGCGAGACCTGTTCTGAGTAAAACCTGTCCTGTTGAACCACGGTATGGTCTTGGCCACCGTACTGCAGCTCAGTTTCGGGGTCATGGCAATCTTCTTATAGCCTAGGCCAACTTTATGTAGAGCAACCATTCTTTTTTTCAGATTCTCAGAGAGTTCTTTGCCATGAGGTGCCATGTTGAACTTCCAGGGACCAGTAAGAGGGAGTGTGAGAGCGATAACACTAAATTTAACACACCTGCTCCCCATTCACACCGGAGACCTTGTAACAGTAATGAGTCACATGATACTGGGGAGGGAAAAGGGCTAATTGGGCCCAATTTGGACATTTTCACTTAGGGGTGTAGTCACTTTTGTTGCCAGTGGTTTAGACATTAATGACTGTGTGACTGTGTTTTTTGAGGGGACAGCAAATTTACACTTTTGTACAAGGTGTACAGTCACTACTTTACATTGTAGCAAAGTGTCATTTCTTCAGTGTTGTCACATGAAAAGTCTATTCAAATATTTGCTAATTGTGTTTGTGAATTTCATAATATTGTACTGGCCTTACTGCTATTGTGGTTCCTGAGATTCCTCATTCAGTGCGTCTGCCCAATGATCTGGGTTGTTTCGCTGTTGCTTTTGGCAAGAGGCAGTGATTTCCTGTTTGAAAACCAGTATTTTTTTTGTAACCAAGTACAATGGTTAAGGCAGTAGGCAGATACAGGTCCAGGATAAATCCAACATGGCAAAAAAAAACAGAACTTAAACAGGCAGACAGCAAGCAGATCTCATTCTGTGACCTGAAACTGATAATGTATGTCATGCATGTCAGATCAGGCCAGCAGGTGACTGAAGCCGTGACAGTCCAGGTCGGCCATGCAGAGACCCTCCTGCCGCTGCTTACCCTCCTGGGCTTCTCCAAGGACAACGATACACTGACTTCCACCAACTACGCCACACAGGCCAAACGCTCCTTCCGCACCAGCCACACGTTACCCTATGCAGCCAACTTACTCCTGGTGCTATACGACTGCGGGGGAGGCGACCTGAGGCTGCAGCCGCTGCTCAACGAGAAGCCTGTGACTTTCCCCGGTTTGACTGACCAGCGGGCTTCCATACCGCTCTATCAAGACGTCAGAGGGCACTACAGTGATCTACTCAAAGGCTGTGACTTTGAGACTGAGTGTCAGCTGTTCAAGCATCCTGCTGAAGTTTAGACAGACAGGGCAGATTCTGGAAAAGAAGGCAGGCATTATAGTGCCTTTAATGTTTTATTTGCAAAATAGAGTGAGAACTGTGGTGTGGGAGCATCTTAGTCTGAACGCTTCTCCTAAACCATCACTGTTTGACATTCTCCTTAATCTAAACAAAGCAACAAATAAGCATTTTCTCCTTTTGTCTTAAGCCTGAGAAAAGGCAGGTTTAATGTCTCTGAAACACCCCATGATCCTAGAATTTAATTTCAACTTTACCTCTACCATTACAGTATTACTACTGCTATATTGCTTATTTGTGCAAGGTTTCTTTTCATTATTGCACAACTTAGAGCCGGAATTAAAGACTTTATATTTGCAGTATACACATATATGTTCCCCATAGGAATTCTTTCACATCCATATTCATCACTTTGCTGTTTTCTGATTCTCACCAAACACTGAAACATTTCCCGAAGTGAAGTGTGTTGCCATTTGTGACTGATGTTGCTTCAACCAAAATTAGTTATCCTTTGTTTTAGAGTGTGATCAGTATAGATGATGAGAAATTTGGCTGTGTGTTTATTAAATCACACATGCATTACAAATCATTTTAACTTTCTGGTAAAAAATATATTTAGCAGAGCTGCTTGTGGCCATTTTGGTGCCCTGGGCCAGACATCCACTGGCTACTAATATTTTACTTTAATTCAGCTTTATTCAATTTCACTCACTTCTGGTCTATTGTCATGTCATCAACCGTAGACCCTTAGTGTCTTTAACCACCCTTCACATCCTAGACTGTCTCTGTCATTTCTGGTCTGAGTGTCAGATACAAACATTCACAGTATCTGATTTTGCTTACAGTATGGAAATCCTGACCATTTTCATTTCTGTATTTATTAAAATGACAGGTCTGAATTGAAATTAGTAAGGCAATTTAAGAAAACACTCTGCCTCGTAGCTTTACTTAAATCAATTCTTGTAATTATGTATAGTTTTTAGTCTTTTGGGTACCACTTTCTAATAAGGCACCTTTACACAGGGTTTGTAAGTTGTACTAATGGTTAACTGACCATTTACAAATTATTTGCATATCTGTTTAAAAAGAAAATCTTTTGGTTTTACAGATTGTCCAAAATCAATGTACTTATTAACATTTCCAACTGCAAAACAGATAGATTAAAACCCTTCAGTGATGACTTATATTATGCAGACTTGCTCATCATGTAAAATGATTACCAAATAGAAGCGCTTGCCAAAGGGCTGCCAATCCCAAAAATTGTTCCTATGAATGGCTTATTACATATCTGCTATGTAAAGCAAAATTATTTATGTCACTAACCATCTGTACTAAACTAATAAAGAGTGACTTATGGGAAAGGTGTTTTGGTAATAATTTCCACTGAAAGCTCTGGTGTGGCAGCTTGGTCTAGACATCATGATTTATCGCGGAAGCTAAATATGACTAGATGGACAATCAGCGAATTCATTGGGCTTTTAAACGGCTTTCATGACAACGCCAAGACAGGTTTAAATGCTTGTTTGGGGGGATTTAACAATATTTCCTCACTTAACATTAACTAATGTAACTATAAAGCTATGGTAGGCCACTTCATTTTGTGTGGCCGCCTTCTTTACATCGACTGAATAACGTCAAGAAGCGACACTATCCCTTACTAGAAGAATAACTTTCTAAGTTCCTGTATAGGCCTAGTCAATTTAAGGCTGAGACGGCAGTAATGTGAGGTTCAGCTTAAATCTGGTAACCTAGAGAGTTAACGTTACTTTGTAACCTGAGCTGGGTGTGTGATAATGTCCAGTAGGGCAAGTAGCGTCCTCGACCTGAAATAATATGAGCAACAAAAGCTGGACTAAATTAGCCTATTGACGAGCATAGACCGCATCAAAAAAGTCCCGTCTTGCAGGTTTGAGTCAGTGCTCGGCCCCGTCGTATTGTTATTCTCGAGGATTGGCTGCTGTACGGCAAATTATGTATTGAGTAGGCCTACGTCTGAGGAGGGCTGGAGGGAGGCGGGGTAAACGGAGTGCTACGTGTCTTGGTAGTCCCTTTTAAAACCCCTCTCGTCTCTTTCGGTTGCCGCAGCCAAAAGTTTAGAGGTTACAGCCCAAGCGAGCGGCGGTCTCCTCCATCCAGGCCTGTGTGTGTGAGAGTGAAACCCGGTGTTCAGCAGTCCGTCGGCGGCGTTACACTCGTGCGAAATGTCTGGAGTGAAAAAGCTTCGTACGGTAAGTTAGACGTGGAGATAACTGGGAGAGAAAAAAAAGCTGATCTTCAGATAAGCCTCAAATGTATGTCAAAAGTGTTTGAGTGTGTGTGACATTATACTACTATTATAGACTATTACTCTTAACTAACCGATAATATATATGTTGTTACCACCGAGGTCTGATGTGATGGCACAGAAAAAGCAGTGAAAAGTAGACACAATAGTTTGTGACATTTCTCTTCAAAGTAACGCTTGATTGTTGCTCATTTCCCACAACACTTTGTTCGCATTTGTGCCCCTTTTTAACCGTAACTTAACTAAGGTTGCCGGGTGTGATGGTAGTAACGTATCCCTGTCAGTCTGGCCCATTCATAACGCAGGGTGTCTTGTGAGGGAGGAGAAAGAGGCCACTGTGAAACGGCAGTCTGAACAGGAATGCTGCTCACTTGGACGGAATATGTGGAGTCGTGCTAAGAACCAGTGTGAGAATCAGTGGGAAGACCCTACAGAGTGAGCTCATGCATTTGTCCCATGGAGCTGCATTTTGTAGCCACGCCACTCAAGTGGTAGACACCAATTCCACTCAGATAGAGCTGATTATCAGAAACTATTTGATAACTGAACTGTTTAAATCACAGCTGAAGCACACATGTGAAACATTTTTCTGCTTCCAGCTTCTTAAATGTGAGTATTTGCTGCTTTTTTTGAATCATTGTAAAGTGAATATTTTGTTTTTGACTGTTGATTGGACCGAACGAATAATTTAAATTTGTGCACTTGGGCACAACTTTCTGACATTTTATAGACAAAACAATTAACTAAGAAAATAATAGACAGACTAATCGATAATGAAAATGATTGCAGCCTTAAAATCACCTTCAATTTATTGCATATTGTGGTGTGAGTTATTAAGTTTCTTAAAGTTGTATGCCCTTAAAGTACTATTTTCCATTATTACATGAACATATTGAGAGCTCTTCCTTATCATAGTTTTATATCTTTTGATTTTTCTGAGAAAGAGGATATTATATGGTCAAATCAAGAGTTTATAGCACATTTCTTGCACAGTAATGCAGGTTAAAGTGCCTTTTAACAGGACAAGCAAATGTATAAGCAAGTGAAATAAAGTTAAATTGATTAAAATGAAGTAAGAAGTGAAGTAATGGTTTTGCATTGAAGCGTGTCTAAAGAAAGGGCGGTTGTGAAGTTTTCTTTTAAATAAATCCACAAAGTGCCATGACTTCGATGACAGCGCCCAGACTTGAAAAACACATTATGTTGCCATGAGTGTTGAAAGGAAGGGAGGCAGGATAAGGAGCAGTGTGTTGTCTGTTTGCAAGAAAAGCGCTGTTTGTCCACAACTCACCCTTATTGTTTGGGTGTGTACATGCACAAACTGTTGGCTATGTGTCATTTGGGGAAGATCGTGGTCCCCGTTAGTAATGTATAGCTTGTACTGTTGGAGCAGTAGGTCCACTTTGAAACGCTGCTCTTACATGAACGCCACTTCATTATAAGTGATAGTGACAGTAGCATACATTTACACCCTCATGCAGTATTGAATGTCACACTTTTGTTACAAAACCTTTTGTAAACTTCAGCTTATAAGTGATATTTGGTGTGATTTCTATTTTTTTGTACCAGCCATGCCCAAACTGGTTAACTATAATCCCAGAGAGTGTATTGATCCCCTCCACTAGGAAGACAGCCATAAAGTATGTTATTTGCATGCATTTGTGTAAAAAAAGGGGGCTCTTTAAATGCAGATTGTCAGAAAGAGACTCAAACCCTGTGAGGGCAAATAACAGGATCTAGAATTGTAAACTGCTGTAACACTGGGTGGAGGTGTCTATGACCCTAGGAGAAGGAGAGGGAAGGGTGAGTATGCAAAAAGCGATGGGATGGATGTAGGGATGAAGGGAGAGTGGATGCAGAGGGCGAACGTGTGGGCATGAGCACTGCCACATCATCGCTGGCCTGCAGGCAGCACACTGGCCACATTGTCCAGTCAGTCCTCTCCCTTCCTCCATCCCCTCAATGCCCTCCCCCCTTTACCCCTCCCCTCCATAAGTCAATGCAGCCCCATTTATCCATAGCCTGGTCCACATAGTGTCTTTGGACATGGGGGCATGGTAAAACCAGTCATATTCTGCTTAACTGTATTCTAATCACTATGTCAAGTGCCACGACGCTACTGTACAGCGTGTCTATTGCCAACAATAGATTAGCCTACTGTTACTAAGTTAACAAGCCTACTGTTAACTAAGCAGAACAAACAAAGTGAAAGTGGCATGTGTGTTGAGCAGCACAGTTAACCTGATCTGAGATGAATGATAGATTTAGCTCAGTAAATAGTAATGGGATCTGTTTGCTTCTACATCAAGCTGTCTGTATCGTGAGTAATTTGCCTCCGTCTGAGCCTGCGCACGTCCATTTCAGAATCTCAACAGGTCGACCAACGTGGTGTACCAGGCCCATCATGTCAGCCGGAGCAAGAGAGGGCAGGTCGTGGGCACCAGGGGAGGCTTCAGAGGCTGTACTATCTGGCTCACCGGTAAATCCCTAAAGTCTTACATAACATCTGCTTATCAGTCATGAGGTGGCTGATTCCTCTGCTATAGGAACCATGTATTGGATAAGGTTTGATCTTATACGGACTGTTTTAAACAGTGACTAATTCAATCCACTGTCATGTCTCAAGGTTTGTCTGGTGCAGGGAAGACCACCATCAGTTTTGCCCTGGAAGAGTTCCTTGTGTCTCACGCCATCCCTTGCTACTCGCTGGACGGAGACAACATTCGCCAGGGCCTGAACAAGAACCTGGGCTTCACTGCCGAAGACCGTGAGGAGAACATCCGTCGCATCGCTGAGGTGGCCAAACTGTTTGCGGACGCTGGGCTGGTGTGCATCACCAGTTTCATCTCTCCTTATTCCAAGGTCAGAAATCATTAACAGTTACAGTTCATTTAAATAGCTGAAAACATGAACCAAGAAGGTTGATACTAGACACCTGGTGGACTAAAGGGTTTGATAAAATACCTTTTTATCCTAATTTAAAATTATCATCAGTGTGGAATACATTGCAACACTTTAAACTGTATTTAAATTAAATGTACGGCCTATTTTCTTCCATAGGATCGCGAGGAGGCGAGGAAAATACATGCAAGTGCCGGGCTGCCATTTTTTGAGGTGTTCATCCATGCTCCTCTTGAGGTGTGTGAGAGCAGGGATGTGAAAGGACTTTACAAGAAGGCTCGCGCTGGAGAGATCAAAGGTCTGTGTAACAATGGTCACCTCAGCAAACTTTCTCCCAGTGTTTTGCATGCTGCCACTCAGCCACTTATACAAGTAATTCCAAGCCCTTTTTACAGCTTCACCGTAGTTGAGGTTGTACGGTTTTCAGTGACATTCCTTGTTATGGTTATACATTTGTTGCCAGGTTTCACTGGGATTGACTCAGATTATGAGCGTCCTGAGGTTCCAGATCTTGTGCTGAAAACGGGAGAGCTCTCTGTGAACGAGTGCCTCCACCAAGTGTTGGAGCTGCTCAGGGACCAGGTGGGTGTAACAGAGGGGAATCTTGGGCTTTTCTGGTGAAGACACTCAAATAAACCCCCTAAATGTGTCCATGTTGACCCGATGTACTGTACATGTTACTTACACAGGCCTTCACCATCCATCGTAAACGTCAAACACTAATACCTATTAGTCTGCAAGTACACGGAAATATATCCCTATTTAAAAAACCATCATCATCACATAGAAAGTTCAATATTGTCAGGGATGGGCTATATTGACTGGCTTCCTAAAATCAAACAAGGATTTCACATACTAAACATGAAGAAGATTCTTTCACATGAAAAGGGAGGGGTTTGCAAGTCATAGTCAGAGAACATCATGATGATGTTTGGTTGCTCAGAGCAGATGACACTTGACCCCAGTGGGGATAAAAAAAAAACCACTGAATTATTCAGCGGAGAATAATTAACTACAACACATGCACATAATATTAAACATATGATGTCAAAATAAAACACACATGTTGCTCTGTTCTCACGGTAATGTAGGCTTTTCACAGATGAGAAAAATAAAGACAATAAGGTTTTCTCTTGCTCTCAGTGCCATTTTTAACCAAGGTTCATTTACAAATATGTAAAGACACAGGGTTCACATCACAGTGTAACCTTGTTTCTGCTGCCAAGCCTCAAGATGTGCCGAAGGAATATTTGCTGGTAAAGTAAATGTGTAAACACATAAACTTTTTATTGCCAGGTCACTGAGGCATAGGTAACAGCTTAGAGTGATCACGGTTACACAGTTACTAATCAAAAAGCTTGAATTCTACACAGTATGGTAATTAAACATTTCCAGTAATTTGAAAAGCTTTTGAAACAGCTGCTGTATTTTGAAACAGTCAATAAAATTCATGGCAATGCTGTCCGTTTTTGTTAATAATAATAAATACACAAATTTCAATTAGATTGTAATCAAAAGAAAAAGAAATAAAAAAAATCGGTTGACCCGGATGGACATGATCACTATAAGAGGTTTCCACTATAAAACAATGCTGTTTCAAAACTAGTTTGTGAAATGATTTTCTTAAATGGGCCTCCTGTTCCCATAAGTGCATTGCTTAATAAATGCACGAAGGCAAGCTGTGTCACAGTAGGTGTTGAGTAATCATTGTCTGCTCACATGAACTGTGAGTAGACAATGACAATGCAAACTTAAAATGACACATCACAACTGTGATGACTTGGATTACTTATCATAAATAGAACTGCCAAACGCAGCTGGTTATATTTCCAAACATATTAGAGAAGTGCAAATAAACAAGGTGATGGAACATTCACTATCTCTGGAGATGTACTCTTCAGAGTGAGCCACTGTGGCAGAGCTGAAAGAAGTTAGTCCACCAACCTTTCACTAACTAACTACAATAGTTTTCACTTATTCTTATCTTCAAATACAGACAGAATATTTGCAACTGTAACATCTACAACTAAAGACCAAACACAAACACACACTATAAGCCAATACATTAATACAGAGCTGCAACAATTAGTTGATTAATATGGCAACCATTAAAATGCTTATCAATATCTGGTTCCAACTTCACAAATGTGAAGATATGCTTCTTTTCTTTGTCATATATGATAGTAAATGAAATACGTTTTGAACATTTGGTTGGACAAAACAATTTCAAAATATAATTTATTGCTGTGTGAAATAATGATTTCCGTTGACATTTGACAGAATAAACAATAACTCTGATTAATGAATAAATTAATGAACAGATTTAATAATAAAGAAAAGCCCTACATTACCAACCTTCTAATATTCCCCTTTTCTCCTTGTATATAGAATATTGTACCAAGCGGGATCATGGAGGAGCTGAATGAACTCTTTGTTCCAGAGAACAAGCTGAATCTCGCTGTGGCTGACGCAAACACACTTCCCACCATCAGCATCACCAAGGTAACCCACCGCTCCTGTTTATAGGCTACTTTTTTGTCACACAGCAAATAGGCAAGGGGAGCAGTACTGGACATGGCAGAGAGCTGCTCATGATGAGCCCATAAAAAATCCCCACTGTTTGGACAATGTGCACTAATATAACTGATTTGACTTCCCTGGGTACTTATAGAGACAAAGCTCACCAGACACAGCAGTGTGCTCGATGCACTGAAATACTTGTCTTATTAAATTATCTACCTATCTACCAAAAGAAGATTAGTTGTTTGTGTTTTTATTAAACATTTAATTTAATTTAATTATCACAGCGAAAGCCAATTCATGAAGAAAACCTAATAAAACCCTCATCTTCAGTCTATTATTCATCCAAAACTGTGTGTGCAACATGTTTTCTCAAAACCATCTTGTTTGTATGATTTGTAAGGAAGTTAATTTAGTGATCATATGTATATCAGCAGCTATGTCTCATTTAAACGCAGCACAGTGAGGCTTTTAGGCACTCTGCCTCTTTTCCAACCATCCAGTATTCTTACATCCACAATTCATTGATTCTTCCATTCATAGTGTAATTACTGACTTGTTGATTTGTGGATTGACATTTACAAAACACTGAATGCCATCAGTGCTGTTAAATCCGTGGCTTTCCTCAAGTGGAAACGTATGATATTCCGTACAATATGTTACACGTTATGCAAATGTATTCAGTATTGTCTTTTACTGCCTGTAACAAGTAATTCTTCTTTGTCCACAGCTGGATCTACAGTGGGTGCAGGTTTTGGCAGAGGGCTGGGCTAGCCCTCTGAAGGGCTTCATGAGAGAGAGAGAATACCTCCAGGTTTTACACTTTGGCAACCTGCTGGATGGTAAGAGATGCTGCACTTCCATATTCACTCTTCTTACAACCTGCCTCATGCAAGAACCATTCATATGAACAGATTTGTACGAAGGTGTCTGTTACGAGGGATTCGGGAGAACTTGCTGCGTTCACCATTTTTCTCTTATTTAGAATTTAGACCAGTTAGTCTGCTGTTATCCCTACCCACGTTTTTTACAAATGGATTGCATCTTTCATTACTTGGAAGCATTTTTTTAGTTTGAAGATCCTATAAAAATTACACTTCATAATTATGTTGACTCTGCAATTCTAATCAAAATAAAATTCAAAATGTATTCATATAGCCTAACAATATCATCATTAATTTAAATTGGCTAATGATGCTATCATATAACACTACAAAATGACTTAAATTGTGCACTAATTGAAGGTTAATTTGCCTCTGTATATAATCAAGGTCAACTGAAAGTGTCTTAGGTATGTCTTAGGGTGTCTGGGCATTGGAAGAGAGCAAGAGCCTGCTGATATACAGTATTGGTAGAGACAGATGAATGGTTGTTCGGTTGTGCTTCTGCAAATGTGAAAACTTTTAGAGCAGCAGCTCCGCAGAGAGACACCACAATCCAACCCTTAATTCCACTGTTGATGCTGTTAAAAAATATACTTTCCTTTATGGATCTGGGAAAGCAAGACTTCAATCTCAGAACTCATAAAGTTCTTCCTTTTACTCATTTTCTTGAATGAACACTTCCTAAAATATGGGGCAGGACGCGTAGCCTTACAGGGTATTATGGAGGGGTTATACTAATTTAAAATTCTCATGAACGAAAAATATTTATGAATGAGTCTTTTTTTATGACATTAAAATTGCAGTATATAAGTATAACAGTAGAACTGTACAAAAGAAAAAAAATACAGCACATTTCCAAACAGAACTACCCAGTCCTACCCAAACACAGAAACAAGAGGGGTCAACCAAAATACAGAGTGGCTTTCTTAGAAATAGAACAAACAAAAAAAAAGACAGAGAAAATAGAATCATGAGAGAAAATACACAGGTACAACTCCCATACGGAAATCAATAGCATCAATCTGTGTCCACCTCATTGTTTTACTTATGCATCTATAAAAGCAATATACATGAATCTCCACTTGAGGAAATATTTTTTCGTCCTGTATGACATTCTTTCACATGCAAATGTATGAATGTTTTTTTAATTTTCATGTCATACCACTGAAATGGTCCATCCCACATATTATGAGAAACGATCAAATATTTAAATAAAGGCTTCTGGCAGCTGACATTCAAGAAAAATTACTCTTTGCTCCAAACCACATACCCGAAGACAAAGAACCAAAGAACCTATACTATACTGAGTTTTTTAATTATTTCAGCATCTTCTAACAATAACTAATTATTTTTGGTTTCACTGAAAAGCTTCTTTCTAAGCTCATGATATTTATGACCATATAAAACATAATGCTTTCCTTTTTCTGCCTCATTTAACTTGCATAATTAAGAAATCCAATTCTCTCTGCAATACCACGAAACATCCTGTTTCCAGATGTAGTGGTAAGATGCCACACATCAGTTGGGCAGAGAGTTTTTCGTCCTGGGCAGATTCAATTTCACAAGATCTTTATATGAATTTGTAATCTCTAAGTCAGTTCCCAACCTTCTCTGTCTGATGTACTGCCACATCCAAATGTGTTCATTTGAACAGATGTTAAAGTGGATGTTGTTTAACACTGTTAAATACATAAATGTGAATATTACAGTTTTGGGGTTTTTTCAAATTACTGAAATGTCAATCTTTAGGTCTGTTTGGTCAGGTTTCTTTCCTTGCTTGCTAACTAGCTTTAACATACTCTCAATTGCAACATGTGTTGTTCAGGTGTTAGAAATATATATTTAAATTAAAGCAGAGCTTCTATTTTTTCTAATTAATTGCTCCTTTCCACACTCTTACTCTTACTCTTACTCTTGAGTGTGAAGTGCATTGTATCATAGTATTGTATAACTAACATATCTGAAATAATTTTTTGCCTTGGTTCACTGGTTTTGATCACTCTACTGTCTCAGACGGGGCCATCAACATGTCTATTCCCATCGTCCTGCCTGTTAGCACTGAGACCAAGCAGAGGCTGGACGGCTCTGCGGCTGTAGCGCTCGAGTACCAGGGTTCACGCGTGGCTATTCTCAGGAACCCAGAGTTCTACGAACACCGCAAGGAGGAACGCTGTGCCAGACAGTGGGGCACCACATGTCCACAGCACCCTTACATTAAGGTACCGAGGCATTCATCACGTCTTCAACACACACAGTCATAATGCAGACACTATCATTCTCTGGTGTCTACATCATTGTTTAGTTTCACTGTCAATATTGAATAGTATATAGTGGGATTTATTTACATAATTAATTTCATAGGTAATTATTTTACAGACATATTCGGCAAACAGCAACTGGTATTCTCTGTTTATCACCTTGTTCAGATGGTTATGGAGGGAGGTGATTGGCTGGTAGGTGGTGACCTGGAGGTGCTAGAGAGAATCAAATGGAACGACGGACTTGACCAGTATCGCTTTACTCCGCTGGAGCTCAAGCAGAAGTTCAAAGACATGAAAGCAGGTTAGAAAATCTAAACAACTCACAAAACCACAGTAACACTTAAAGAACAGAAAATCACAAAAAAAACAACGTAGCTGCTGATGTGACACGTATGACTAATATAGTTCCATAAATAAAATATCCATCGCAGCTGGTAAATTAAATAAATAAATGTAAACATGAAAGCAATGTATTTAGCAGTGCACCGTTTGTCTTTCAGAAGAACTTGACAAAGGACCAGATGAATAAATGAAATGGTAAATTTAAAGCTGCATGGTGATGTTTGTGATCTGTGTCCAGTGATCAACAGAGACATAATTTATCTTTGTGAAAAGCAATGACCAATGCAATGTGATTACCTGTTTTTACTCCATCTCACTCACTTTGACGTGAATGCTGTGCTCAAGATTGTTTCATTTGTTTAGCTACACCACAATACAATATGTATTTTGGTCATTTTTGTTTTTCAGTATTCTTTGCTGCTCTGTAGTCCCATCCTGAGTTTTGTTTTGTTTTCACTGGTGCAAGCATGTTGTGATGCACACTTAACGGATCAGGCTGACCATGTTCTATATCTTCTTATTGTTAACAAACCCAATGAAAAGACTTTAACTATGTCTCTCAGACCCCAGCTGGTTTATTCCTATTGAATCATTTTGAAACGGTTAAAAAATATATACTTTCATTGTTAGAAAACAAATTCCTAAAATAGCTGGACGCTGAAGTTTCCAGCATAAAGCATACTCAGAGGGAAGAAGACTATTTTCTGCAGCAGATTTTGTATGCTTGTGAGTATTTAGGACGGTATATTAAGCACTTTGTAACTTGTTTTTGAAAAGTGCTCTACAAATAAGGATTATTATTATATGTAGGATCGACACAACAATAATCATGTAGCTCTCTGACACAGAGGAAAGCTAGATTAGGTTTTTTGCCACGTAATACTTTTTAGTAGGATCAATTGAGTGTTTGGGTCTTGTCATGGGATTTGTTGACAATACGAAAAAATAAGAATATCAACAGACTTTTCCTTTAACACAAGCAATTTTGATGCCAAAGTTATTAAACAGTCCATTTGAGTTATGTGGCATTATGAGCATGTTTGTTGTGAGTAAAATGCACAATATTCTTCACATAAGTTTGGACTTCACAGATTATGAAGCTCCACTGTATCGTAATACTGCTTCTGTTATACTATTATACTGCTGCTAATATTACAAATACATATATGTTGTGCTTCTCCATGTTGTCCTCCTTAGATGCTGTATTCGCATTCCAGCTGCGTAACCCGGTCCACAATGGTCACGCCATGTTGATGCAGGACACCAAGCGCCGTCTGCTGGAGCGAGGCTACAAGAATCCAGTCCTCCTGCTGCACCCACTTGGCGGCTGGACCAAAGATGACGATGTGCCCCTGGACTGGCGGATGAAGCAGCATGCTGCTGTCTTGGAGGAGGGTATCCTGGACCCAGCCAGCACCATTGTTGCCATCTTCCCCTCACCCATGATGTACGCTGGACCCACAGAGGTGTGGACCAATGAGTAGTCTTGGCTTAATGTTTAGCCAGAGGTTGCAGTCAGTCTCGTTGTCAACTATTTACCCGTGATATATATGTGCGATTGAATATTAATCTGTATGACTGTAATTTCTCATCAGGTCCAGTGGCACTGTAGAGCCAGAATGATCGCCGGAGCAAACTTCTACATTGTTGGCCGGGACCCTGCAGGAATGCCTCACCCGGAGACTAAACAGGACCTGTATAACCCCACCCACGGAGGCAAGGTCCTCACCATGGCCCCTGGCCTCACCTCTGTGGAAATCATCCCCTTCAGAGTAGCTGCCTACAACAAGACAAAGAAGGCTATGGACTATTACGAAAAAGAGCAGTGAGTGAAGAAACATTTTGGTGAAGAACCTGAGAGTTTCACCTAATATAGGCCCAGATATTACATCCATCACAATGTCCTGTTATCTGCTAAGTATTATTTATTTTGTGAATGAAAAGGACAAAGTGTAGTAGATCACTTTCTCAAATTAGAACGTGTCGCCATGTGTTTTCAGACTTGCTCTGCAGGTGTAATTATTGCGCAAATACATCTGCTGATGCCTCTGGACAAAATATGTGTCCAGAGATGAAAGAAAAAACACACAAACATGAACATAGGTTCCTTTTTTCAGGTAGTAACTTGTAAGGGGAACCAAAGTCATGGCACTTCAGTGAGAATAATACAAAAACCTGTGGAGCAGGTCCTGGAATCAGGAACAGAACTGAAAATGTGCCCAGAGGCATCAGCAGATGTATTTGCAGAGGAAATCTATGATGAGGCCATAATCACAACTGCACAGCAAGTCTGAACAAGTGTAAATATTGTAATATTTGAATAGTCCACAACAGTTACTCATGTCTCCCCCTCTCTCCATACTGCCCTTCCTCATTCCTCACTCTCTTAGACATGCCGAGTTCGAGTTCATCTCTGGAACCAAGATGAGGAACATGGCTCAGAGTGGAGAGAACCCTCCAGATGGTTTCATGGCCCCCAAGGCCTGGAAGGTGTTGGTTGAGTACTACACCTCTTTTCAGAAGGACAAGTAATGACTCAGCTCAACAGCATACTACAAATACACATAGTCGGTTCTTAAAGGGGGTTGAATATACATCCCTTTTATTCGTATTTTAGATGGGTTATTCTTTTATATTAAATAAAAATAAATTGAGAGTGATGAATTTGCTATGAATAACGATCCAGTCTTGTCAGGGTGGGTGTTTTGTACAATAAATCAAAATGACTTCTCTTAAGCAGTTGCAGTATATGCAAATTAATTTAAGCTTTGTATTTTAGTAAATTAAAGTTAAGATTTTTTTTAAATATTAATATTTTAAGTTTAGGAGCGTATCCCAAGGCAGTGTAATCATTTTTGACATTTACATGTAATATCTGAAGGATGCATGACAAAAAAAACAAAGTGTTGATTTCACTTTTATAGCATTTTATGGCAATTATATTTCTGTCTGTCCAGTTATTTGTGTGACCTGTATGAAAGTTACCAATGGTACCTATTTGATTCACATGTATGGATGTCTATTAATGAATCATGTTGATGTTTAAATGTGAAATACAACATAGATGTTTTTTATAATGTAAAATGTGCCTTTCTCTCAAATATCAACATTATAAAAACAGCCATTGTTTAAATTTCTTGCTGGTGTTTGCCTGAAATGAGATTTGTGTGATGTTATGAAGTGGGCATGTGCATTCATGTAATACAGACCAGAAATTTTAGCACTACAAAGTATGTTAAATGCAGTAATAAAGGAGTTTATTTGTTAATATGAAACATTGGTGACTGTCTGGTACTGAGATATTGTGTACTTAAGCCTTAAAAAGACACCCTTTCATGTCATCTATTTAAATGTTTTCTTTTTATTGTCCTGGTTTAGCCTATGTGTCACTGGTATTGCAATATACCTAACTTCTGTCTGTACAAGGTGCATACTCATTAAGTGAAGGTTGTAAAGGTTGAAGTTGATTGGGAAGTGTGGCATCCCCGGGACTGCAAAAGCCAAAAGGGCACTGCTGCCATCTGCTGGCAAGAACTGTTGCAGGAAAACACAAGCATTACAGGAGGAGAAATTACTGTAAATGCATGTAAAAGGGCACAGTCACTTTGGGTTTTTCTGACAGGAGGTAGGCTCTATAGCTGCACCAAACCCAAATATAGTCCTGTGTGTCTACCTCTTAGATGTTCCGCTAAACAGAGTGAACTAGACTAGCAGCACAGTCAACAGTGGTGATCTTAAATGGTCTAATATCTTAGCACATTTGTTTGCACTGGGAAACACTGGGTTGTGCTCTAGATTGGCTTTGCCAGCTAGATCTTTCATAACAGATTAAGAAGATCCTGAGACGCTTTCAAATTACACTTAAGAGATGGTTGAGTGAACTTGAAGGATTTATTAATTTTGCCAGTCATTAAGCTGTAAGGGCTTACATTGCTATTGAGATGAGTGTTCGTCTATGAGGAGAACCAGTCTCCGTTGTAAGAAGCAGATACCTAATTAGCCTCACACGGGATCAGATCATTTAATCTGCGATGTTCCAGGTAACCCCATTTAAATCTGCTGAACTGCACCCTCAGTGCTTTATAAAATCTCCAACTACTGAACATCCAACATGTCATGTCACTGACCAATGACCAGGAGGGCTGCGCATTTAAATCTCTTGTGTCCTCATGAACAAGTCACATTTCCACTCAGGTGCACTGGCATGAAGACTTCACAGCTGTCATGTTGCACGGTAGTGGGCTGAGTAGGGCCAACTGGTTCCAGATGAAGACTGATTTTTACACACAGTTCATTAGGAGAGATTGTATCCTCAATTATTTTAGCCCCTCTCATAATAGTAATGGGCCCTGTCTCCAGAGTCACTTTCTGATAGGCGGAAACATATTCACATGCAGTGAGCTGCAACTAATGATTATTTTTGTTGTTGATTAATCTGCCAGTTAGTTTTCCAGTGAGTCACTTAATCAATTGCTGTTTAACATGTCAGAAAATAGGGAGGCGTTCCAATCACTATACAAGTCCAGGTCCAAGGTGACAATCCAAACCAAAGATTTTCAATTTAGTATCCTAAAGGAATGTGAAAACCGGTAAATATTTATGTTTGATCAGTTGAAGCCAGTAAATTTTTGGCACTTAAACGATTAATCTATGATAAAATGCTTTTTTTCTGTAGATGGACTAACTGATGAATTAAGTAATTGTTCATGCTCTAATCCAAACCCTGTAAAACACTACCTTTCAATTTACTTCAGATAACTTTTTTAGTTGCATGTTTGGATTACTTTTTTGTGTTAATAACGTTATTGTTAATGTTGAACATATGATCATACAACTTTAGACTATGAATATATCTTTAATTTTAATATACAAGGCACAAGGCTGTTTATTTTCTACATACACAGAACGTAACATATAATTAATTGTATTTTAAAATATGGTAACATAAAAAATGCATAATGTGATTAATTCACTGCTAGAGTGCGTCAATAAAAACAATGTGAACAATAGCGTTGACTGTCTGTGGCCAGTGCAATTAATAACGTTGGCATCATTTAGGATTGAGGAGATTGTATAAGAAAGAGACAAAAGAAATGCAAAATACATTAATTTTACATTGTAAACATGATAAACGTCTTATAGATTGATAGGTTACACTGGTGTATTTGCCTTAGTATGAAATGACAGTTTAAACCGCGAAAAGTGACATTATGTTGGAAACTTCCCTAATTACAGACACACGTGATCACTTTGACAGAAGGGAGCGTCGCACGCGGACTCACTCTACCCTTCCGCATGAAGCACGAGATAACTCGGTTGTTGCGCTTTTTAGGGTTGAAACAACTACAAACGTCAGTAGTTGCTCATCGGCATCTAATATTAATTATTGAAACATTATTAGTTAATACTGTATTTGGCGGTTTAAATTAAACGGAGGCACTATATAGAGAAGGCGGAGGGATCTTTGTTCTAAAATCCCAGCCTGCTCTACCTTCTTTTTTTCCTTCGGTGGAGGCCATGATGGGAGCCTGAGAGTTCAGCTGGAGCGAGAGGAAGGAGAAAAGAAGATGATTCCCCGGGACGGAACTGTCAAACCAATCTGTGCAGATTTCTGATCTTTGAGTAGTCTATATACATTTAAGGTGGAGACTGTCACTTTTTTTCAGATGTGTTCTTGGCAATCAGTCGATGACAATGTTGAATCGTTAGGAGGCTTTTGGATCGAAGAAGGAGGTAGCGTTAGCCATTGTTGCTAGCTAGCGAGCTAGCTAGCTAGTTAGCTAGCGAGCTAGCTGCGTCTGAGTGACTGGATACGGGTTTCGGGAACCGGTGAGTTCTCTGTCCTCTTGCTGTCAATCGTAGCGGCTGCGATTGAGCCGCAGACTTGGACCTTGTCTGGCATCTAAAGTTTTTTTTCTGAGGAGAACTGCATGTATTTTAATCGGGGGTATTCGCAAGACGAATTGCAGGATTGGGAAAGTCGGGCCTGCACGGAGGAGCAGAGGAAGGCCCGTCTTTATGATCCAGAGGAAGCCCTCCTAATCCTACCGACGGCACTGCTAGCTCTGCTGGCTAGCTCGTCTTAGCGAGGACCTGCAAAATTCAGAGAGAAGCCAGAGAGCAGACCCACTGACTGCGACGCGCACGACCAGACAGCCAATACTAGAAAAACCTGTTTTCATAATTTTACCCCCTAAAGACTCCTGTCACCTGCTACAATGGCTGCGATTATAAAAGAAATGGTCAGCCGGAACAAAAGGAGATATCAAGAGGATGGGTTCGACCTGGACTTAACATGTATCCTTCACTATGTTCCTTATTTTCACAGCACCCGGGATATCGACTGGTAATGTGTAATGGTTGCGTTGAGTAGTAGAGTTGGAAACTGAACTGTCAGTGGAGTAACGTGAGGTAGCTTCCCTGCTAACTTAGCTTGCGAGCTAGTTTGGTCAGACAGCGGAGCTTTGCTGTCACCCAGCATGTTTGAAAGATGGTGGATCTGTCAAACCAGCACACATACATGTCACAGTCATATTGTAGCTGGAAGATCCCGTTCAACTGGACATTTAGTGTGTTTTTAAATAAGAAAAAAGGCCATTTAACTCGCATACCAGTCACCCAGTGGTGGACCTTGTGAATTTGTTAGTGGCATTAAGTCAGGTTTTTTTTTTTTATCAGTTAGTATTTGAAGGCAGGTAGATGGTGTCCAGTATTTATCGAATTTCCTTCTATTTCATGGTGTGTGGTGTTTTTTGTTGTTTTTTTTTGTAACGTTAGTACATGTATATAGGATATATGTAATTGCTTTATAATGTAGGTTTCTGGTTTATGATGCAAATAGCCATACATCCCCCTCACCTCGCCTCACCTCACCTGTGTCCTCTGGGTGAGTATTCATTGATGGATTTCAACAAATCAACTCAAATCAACATTTTCCTTTCCCACTTATGGAGATACAATTATTTCCAGATCTAAGGCTATTTCTGGCCCCTCTGCTGGACTCATTTCTCATCTATTGCCACTGATAGCAGTTGACCTGGTTCCCTAGTGCAGTATCACTCTGTACTAAAGTTGGTACTTTTACCTATTTGGGCTGGTGATAAACTAGTTTAGCAGCTATGTGCTTGACCATGGCCAACTAAATGCAAAATCTAATGTGTTGCATTGCTGATAGAGGTCATGGTTGCGGTAGATGCCTCTGCTCTGTATCAAGATGTCAAACCGCCTTTTGAGTCCTGGCTTTGATGTTTGAGGTTGTAGGGCTGAGAGGAGCAGTTGATTTTTAACTGATGAGTCGACCCACACAAGATCAGTGTGCAACAGTTTAGGTGAGTGATTGTTGGCTGTTTGTTATTTTTATGTTTGAGAAGTTTTTATGCTTTTGGTCTCTCAAATGTGAGCATTAGCTGGCTTTCTTAGTCTTCTACAGTAAGTTGAAAATGTTTATGTTTGGGACTGTAGGTCAGATAAAACAAGACATTTGAAGATTTCAACTTGGGCATTTTTCACTGTGTTTTGACACTTTCTGCACCAAACAATTAGTCAACAAATCGAGAAACTCATTCAGTAATGAAAAAGACTGATGCAGCCCTATCTGGTTCTGTACAGTATGTTTAAAAAAAAAAAAACTTGAACAGGCCTTGTAATTTATGGCTATAATTTCCACTGGTTGTCAGCATCGTTGCATTTACTCGATAACATTGCAGAGAAGCCTTACAGAACATAGAGCTGAGCGCTCATTACATTGATTCAATATTGCCACTAAAGATGACACATTGTACTAAATTCAGGCAGTAAGTTGCGATGTAGATGTGTCTGCAGATGGTTAAATGCGTGACACTGTTTTGAGCAGATGTTTCTCACCTGGTTTCATAATGTGGTGAAGCTTGTGTCATGTCTCCGTGGCAGGACTCTGTGCATTGTGCCACTAGAACTTTGTGCAGGTGTGAAGAGGGCACACCACTCAAAAGTGGTATCTCTCTTTGGCTTGAAGTCTCTTCTTGTTCAGATGTGGGCCCTTTTGAACCATCCCTTTTTTTTATAATTTTTTTTGGCGTGGTATCTAAAAACAATATGGGCTTTCTGCAGTTATGTAATGCTGTATCACAGTTCTGGGAATTGCCCTTAAAATAGAGTTGCCAGTGATCTTGTATCAGTGTTGCTGTCTGAGTGCTCTCTCCCTCTCTTACCCTCTCAGCCCACCACCTCTCCTTTGCTCTTTTTCTTTACTGCTCCTACTTTAATTCTCCCTCCCTCTGCGTGCCCCCCTTTCTCTTCTCTCCTACTTTCCTGTCCTCCCCACCCCCTCCTCGCTTGGCGGTTCCCACTCTCCCTTCCCCACCCCCCTCCCCTCTTGCTCCCAGTTGTGGATTTGGCGTATATGCATAGAGCTGAGGCAGGGCTGGCTTTAAAGAAAAGGCGTGCCTGAAACGGCAGATTTTTTTTATTTTTTATTTATTTTTTGCTTCTTCTCTCCTACTTGGAGCTTCCGTCGGGGTCCCGTATGTGCGTTTCCTCCCAGCTGCAGAGACCAAGCCCCCCATGCCCTGGGCTGAGGCTCTCCTGGGAGCTCTGGAGCTTTTTAAAACACTTCTAATAGCCTGACTGGGATCACTCTGCCAGTATGTCCAAGGTTTAAGAGTAGCCCATCAAATTGCATAGAAAACCTGTATTTGGCTCCCAATTAGGTCTTTGAGGCATTAATGGATGGGATTATGGATCAGTATGTACAGATAGCCTACTCAGTCATGAGCTACAGGGAAGTAGCTTGGAAGTATGCAAATAATGCCATAGATGAGCTATTGGGCTTGTTGAATTCATGCCTCAATGTCTATGTTGAGCGTACCTCTGCTGTGTTAGTGTGCTTATTGAGTTCCTCTTACAGGGTTTTTTTGAAGGCCGCCATTTAGCAAATTTTTCCCCAGCTAAAAATGTTTGAAATTGCATTAATCTTTGTGTATATGTCTGCTTATTCTGGATTTCAGTATTTTTCTATACTAGCAGGTCTACTTATTGGATAAGGAACTGTATCTGTGCGTGGGCCATGAAAAGGGTTGTTCTTGTGCAGGTGTGTGTGCACACTAGCAGAGTTGAAGATCGTGCTATGCCCAAACCGCTTTTTCTCGCACCAGAGGTAGTCAGATGCGTGTGTCAAATTTTTCTGACCAGTTAAAAAGTGATTTGACTCTGGAAAAATGAGGTCCGCTTGAAAAGAAACAGACACATCCAATTAGAATTATTCAGCTTTTCTATTTTTGACGCCATGGCACAGGAAGTGTAAGAAAAAGGTTGCCCTTTTAGTCAGTGGTTAAAGTGTGAAATCCCACAGCTTATGGCGACAAGCAGACTTCAGTTACAGGTAGGCGTTTGCAGCCGAGCCTCAAAGACATGCGTGCCAACTCAATTATTCTTTTTGCTGCAACATGACACTGATGTGTGCCTTTTTTAAAGATTGCACTTGTGTCACCGTATAATTGGCCCCGACATTTTCCATCACTATCCTGCAACCCCGTTCAGCGATGTAAGGCAACTGGAAAGGCAGCCAGGTGTAGCGCGAGAAAGGTCGTGCAACCAGAACTTAAACTTGTAGTGGAATCTGGTGTGTGTGGTTTGGAAAGTGTTGCTTTTGTCCATCACTGAACTGTCTTTGCCTTCTGCTGCATGTGCTGCAAACCTGCAAGGCGGAACACAAGGGATGTTTTGTTTCTTTTAATTTTTTTTTTCCCCTACCTGTGTCTTTGTGTCGCCTGCGTTCAATCACATAGATATTGAAACCAGTATGGCTGAGCTCGAAAGAGAGATAAGCCGAACACTTGCGATCGTCCCAATATAACTTTTGGGCTCTAAAAATAAATGCAGGTCAGGGAGCGGGAACTCTCCTCGTGCACCCACATGTGGGCCTGGCTCATGCAGGAACGCGGTTACTCCCGTCCTCTCTGCCTGCTCCTTACTGTCAAGGCCATCTGTCACAACACACATCGCCCCTCCCCTGCGTTCCCATCTATCCATAACTACAATGACACACTCGTTGACATTAGCTGAAACTTTTTCACGCTCTGCTGCTCGCCTCTGCATCATTGTAATTGGTAAATAGCAAGTTCTTCCAGAGTAGCTTCTTATTTCAATAATGTATCATTTTAGACCTGTTACATAGCTGTTGAAAGCATAGGTAGGTCTACTCATTCTGTAAGTTAAAGATGTGCTGCTCTACGCCTCTTTAATTGCGCCTTTCACAGGCATGCACAGTGTACATTTCCTTGACCCCTTCCTGAACAGATATCTACCCAAACATCATCGCTATGGGCTTTCCAGCAGAGAGACTTGAAGGCGTGTACAGAAACAATATAGACGATGTAGTACGGTGAGTTGTGTTGCTTCTGCTATGTGATCATAGAAAAGGGAAATGTAAGTTAAAAGCATTTAGAGAATTGTGTTTATTTATTTTTATTACATTTATTTTTCTCTGCCAGATGACCTAATAAATATATTCTCTTATCTGGTTATGTTCTCTCTTGCAAACAGGTTTTTGGATTCGAAACATAAAAACCATTACAAAATCTACAACCTGTAAGTGTTCCGCATATTGTTTGTACCTGAACTGGTGGTTTACTTAACAACTTCCTCTGTGTTCGCTAACTGGGTTTATGTTCTTCCCATTTCAGCTGCGCAGAAAGACACTACGATGCTGCCAAATTTAACTGCAGAGGTAGGCCGTTTTACATCATCTTCTATAGATGCTTTCCCGCTTTAAAAAAAAAAAAAGGCACGGAAAATGTCCACTGTGTCCTTCTTCCCTGTCTTGTCTCTAACCGGTCTGTTCTGTGTGCTCCCCTCCCCTCTGGTTACAACTTTGCGTGGGCCTTCATCCGGTCATGCATCAGTTGCACAGTACCCCTTCGAAGACCACAACCCTCCTCAGCTGGAGTTAATTAAACCATTTTGTGAAGACCTGGACCAGTGGCTCAGCGAGGATGACAATCACGTGGCGGCCATCCATTGTAAGGCTGGGAAGGGCCGCACTGGAGTCATGATCTGCGCCTATCTCCTCCATCGAGGCAAATTCCTGGAGGCCCAGGAAGCGCTCGACTTTTACGGTGAAGTCAGGACAAGGGACAAGAAGGTGAGAGATCAGTCGGAGACCAAATGTCTCAACATGGCAGCTTTTTATCACTTCAGATCAGCTGTTGCAAATGGAGCTGGAGCTAATTATTTTAATTCAGTCTACAGATTAGTTAATTGCCTACAGTTAATTGGTTAATTGTCTTGCCCAAGGAGGCATATTCAAATTGCTTGCCAAAAATCTACAGATATTCATATTTATAATGATGTAAAGATTTTCAAGAGAAAATCAGAAAATACTCACTATTAAGTCGCTGATCCCAGAAAATTTTTGCCGTTTCTGCTAGGGATGAGCATTTTAAGCAGAAATACTATTCGATAGTCACTGGGAACTATTCGACCATTCTTCGAAGATTGCCCCAGAGAGTTGTTAGTACGTAGGTGGCAGCTCATAGTCCGGGCCCCTCTGATGATGAATGGTAGCGAGACGTTGTGGTGGCGTTCACTCTGTAAACAGAAACTTTATTTACTCCCCAACACCAGTAAAAACAAAGAGAAAATATTTTTTAAGACAATAGTTGCATAATCTATTTGATGATAAAAAAAATAAGTAATTGTAAAAATGAGTATTAGAAAATTGGAAAATCATAACCCATTCCTAATTTTTGCTTGAAAAGTGACCTGATTATCAAAATAGTTGTCGATTTTATATGTAGCTTCAGCTTTATTTGCAAACACTTGAACACACACAGGAAAGAGAACATGATTTGTGCATGCAGGATGTCTAAACACTGTTCCTCTTGTTGCAGGGAGTAACGATCCCAAGCCAGCGCCGCTACGTCTACTACTACAGCTACCTACTGAAGAACCACCTAGAGTACAAGCCAGTGGCGCTGCTTTTCCACAAAATGGTGTTCGAGACTCTCCCAATGTTCAGCGGGAGCACCTGCAGTGAGTCATGGCTCATGTTCAACTCTTAACTCCAAACTAGGGCGTAGGCATGCATACTGCTGTTCAGACAGAACGAGGGCCTTTGGGTGTGTTGCGCGTTGCAGGGCTCACCCACGCTGCAGTTTAGCACCATGGAACAGAGCAGGTCAGCTACGGTAGAGTTGAGTCGTCCTGTGCCGGGATTTTAAGTGTGGCTGAACTCACTGCAGTATTTTTTATTTTTTTACTAACAAGGGCGGCTTCTTATTGATTAAGTCCTGTTGTTGCTGCTTACAGCGAGGCCAACTCATTCTCTGCCTGCTTAAAGAAAAAAGAGCCTTGTTGAATCAGACCCCCTCTGTTTGTCGTCATGGAATTTTTAAACGTTCATGAAAATAGAAATCGATTTGCCTTCTTAGAATTTTACTTTCTCGCAAACCTCCAAACTCTTGCAAAGTTGAACGACGAGGTATTTGAGCTATCATTTTTCTTTTTTAGCTTCCTCAGAAAGATTGCCTTTATAGGAGTCCGGCTGTGTTGTGCTTTCAATTGTTCTGCTGTGTAATACTTTCTTTCTGCACACAGTATTCAGAGAAATTACAATATGCACTGTTTAAACAGACGAGAGCACTTAAAGCCCCGCATGAGGCAATTTAAACTGTGCACTCACACACCGGATAGTACAGTAAAAGCAAGTTTTATTTGCTTGCACATAACCAGGAAGTAACTAAAAGTCAGTGATAGAATTTAAATACTCATGCTCAGTGATTTATTTTTACACATAATGGCACAGTGCTTGAGAGTTAAGTCACTGTAGCTAATTTCAGTCATGAGTATTTACATATCACTGCATGTTTGCTCAGAGATCATGACGCTCTTTCACCTCTCAGTAAAAATGCATGGCTATTGTCAATGTCTATATTTTCCTAACATGTTAATGCTGTGTATTTGACTGTATATAGATCTCTATTATGGTCCTAGGAGGGGGGGGGGGGGGACTTTAAATAATCCTGTTTTTCCTCTCAAGCCCATCTGAGTCACACGCTAGGCTTTTTTTATATCTGTATTTGTCCGTTTTCAACTGTTGGTCAGAAAAGGCGCCTCTTCTTTTTTTATTTCTGTGGCTTTTTAACGCCGAACACCTGCCTGTGCACGGCAACCATGACTATATTGATCTTTGTCTTCCCTACTAACTCCCATTTTAAAAAAAAAAAAAAAAAAAAGTAGTTCGACAGAGTTTGACATCTTAATAAAGTGTGTGTGTGTGTGTGTGTGTGTGTGTATATTTTACTCTTAATAAACATGTACAAACAAACCTTTTTCTAGCCTCCAGGTTTTCACTCACCCCAGCAGTAAAAGTAGAGAAGCTAGTTTGATATTTCTGTAACAAATAAGTCAACGTAACGGTTTCAGTTTGTTAAATTTGCCGTAGAATACTCTGATGTTTTGTGGTGGTTGGTGATTGTCAGCAATCTCAAGTTCCCGCTTTCCTCCTTCCCCTTTGTGCATCTCAACACACCAGGTGCCATGTCAAATGTTTAAGATGCACACCTTCATTTTAAAGTCATGCACTGTATGTTTTATATGCTATGTAGATATGGATATCTGTAAATATTTGTGTAGGGCTCCTGTGTTTGTGCCTGCTGTGCTGTCAAGCCACTGACAGACCAGCAAGGTCCCCTTTCTGATAATCTCCTTTCTTTCTCTCCAAGGGGACAGTACCGTTAAAAACAGGAGTGAGCCAACCCCTCAGGGCTTCAAGAAAGGGAATTGGCATTGGGGTAAATGAGCCTTTCATCCATTGTTACTACTTAAGTCATTTCCTTTTTATATGATCCTGCGATCCAGCAGGCAGCAGTAGTCTGAGCTAGACATGTTGCCTAGCAGGGTAGGCCTAGCTTCCAGTAATATGTCATCTCCAACACCACACCCACCCTGACAGGAAGAAGGAAGGGTTAAATTATTCTATAAGCAACCTGTTGCGCAGGTCCAAGACCAAACCGTGACTGTCTATCAAAATTGTGTGCAATGCCTGGTTCTGTGTCTCTGTAGCTTATGTTCCCTTACTCCTCCTTAATTTAATGTTTTTGCACTTATTCAGTAGTGGGTTCTTTTGTCTTGCTATGTTGATTCACTCCTGTCTCACTCGCTCCATGTTTTTTCTGTCTCTTTCCCGGACTTTTTGTAGATCCCCAGTTTGTGGTGTACCAGCTAAAAGTGAAGATCCACACGTCGAATCCCGCTCACACGCGGCGCGAGGACAAGCACATGTTTTTCGAATTCCCCCAGCCGCTGCCAGTTTGTGGAGACATCAAAGTGGAGTTCTTCCATAAACAGAATAAGATGATGAAGAAGGTTAGTTGTGTGTGTGCGCGCTCAGGGGCTTTCATCGTAGCTTTATTTTCTTGGTCCTTGTCACTGAGCTCATTTTGGTTGTTGAATGTCATGATCTGCTTGGTCAAAGAACATCAGTGGCATTTCACTGAAGCATTTAGAAGAGATCAGAAAAGTAGCATTTACCAAAGCCTGATAATGGCTTGTTCCTCTGTGCCATAGACCGCCTATTGTCCAAAAAAACGATTAACAACCCATTAATTAGCTGCGCCGTCGCCACTGGCTGACAAGTTCCTTCAATACCATGAACACTGTAGTTTATTTTGAGTCAAACCCACATTCACCATCCTGCCGCCGTAGACACAACAAATGTCCATGGAGGAAAATGGTCTGTAACAAATGGACTACTAACTCCTGTTTGAGAAATGTTTGCTTTAAAAGTAAAACTATATTTGTGAGTTGAAGATTTGTCTGTAGTAAAAACAAATGGTCTTGGGGCCGAGTGCACAGATAGGGTAAGGAAGTCGGAAAGTATTGAGAGACAGACATGTTGTTGTTTTTAAGCATTAACCAACAAACCTTGTTTGGCCCACTTTCTCATTACATCTACTATCTCATCAACTCTGCCCTCCCAGGACAAAATGTTTCACTTCTGGGTGAACACCTTCTTCATCCCTGGACCAGAGGAGAGCGGGGACAAGATGGAGAACGGGGCGGTGAACAATGCAGAGAGCCAGCAGGGGGTACCGGGCCAGGGCCAACCGCAGAGCGCAGAGTGCAGGGACAGCTGCAGGGACAGCAGCAGGGAAAGCGACAGGGACTACCTCATCCTGACGCTCACTAAGAATGACTTGGACAAGGCCAACAAAGACAAAGCTAACCGCTACTTTTCGCCAAACTTCAAGGTAAAGATTTAATTTGGATATTAGCTGGATAAATTGTTTATATTTAAGTATGTTGTTGAATAATGTCAAATTAGTCTGTTTTTCTTGAATGAGCAGTGATAAGACTTGTTTATGATATTTAAGGTTTTTTTTTGTCTTGTTTGCAATTCCAGGTGAAGTTGTATTTTACAAAAACCGTGGAGGAGCCGAATTCTGAGATAGGCACGACATCCGTCACCCCGGACGTTAGCGACAATGAGCCAGACCATTATCGATACTCTGACACCACTGACTCTGATCCGGAAAATGAACCTTTTGATGAAGAGCAGCACACACAAATCACAAAAGTGTGAACTCTTTTTAAACAGGAAAAAGAAGAAAGTATACACCAGAAAAAAGGAGAAAACTTGAATATAAACTCAAAAGAAGAACCTTTGTCCCTTCCCTCGCCCAGACGGCAATAGAATATCATCATGTCAAATGCCAATTTTAGGGAAAAAAAAGATAAATATCCTGACCAATATATTGTTTTTTTATTTTTCTTTTTTTCTTTGGCACAGCCATATACCATGTTCGAGGTATTGACACTGTTGCTCCATGGGAAAAGGTGCTGTAGCTATAAAAAATGTGTGTACATACAGATGGGTGACAAATGAAAGGAACAACCAACATGAAGTGTCTTAGGATGGAGTCAGGCCGCCACGATCCTCCAGCACAGCTTCAGTACTCCTTGCCAAGTCTGTGGAACTCTATTGGAGGGATGAACACCACATTCCCTCATATATATACATATATACATATACACACACACACACACACCACCTTTTTATATAATCAGGTAATCTCATTGGGATCAAGCTCTCTTTTGTAAGAGATGGAGAGAACAGAAAGGAAAAACAAGCATAGCCAGACATAACAAAAGGACATCACTAAATAGATTTGAAGATGAAAGTTTATATTATATCATTTGATTTTATGGAGGTGGTGGTGGAGAGCATTGTCTTACACATTGGTCCAAAATCTTCCATAGGTGTGAAACTGGGTTGAGGTATGGTGACTAAAGTCTGTAGTATTTTATCATTTTCGTATTCGCCAAACCATTCAGTGAGCCCTGCTGCACAGAAGCATTTGATATGTTTTCTCCACTACTCAGGTTTTTCCTTTTTAATTTGTCCCCCGTCTGTATATACATGCATATATAAACAAACTTTTTTTGTGTCAAAGACAATGGAAAGAGTACCACAATCAGGAGACGGGAGTTGAAGTGTGGGAGAAGTTAGAATGATATACTAGGACTATGCTGCTCCTTCTCCTGTCTAAACCAAGGCCAGTGCTGCAGTCACTTTGTTTCACTCCCTTTCTTCTCCTCCCCCTTTCTCCTCATCTTTTACTCTCCCTCCATCCGATCCTCCTTTCCTTATCCTCCTTTACTGTGAATGCTTCTTGTGCTCTTTGCAGGCTGTCTCACGTGACTTTCGGTCTTTGTGCAGTGCAAACTGCATGCGGGCAGTGGGTTGGGGGTGGGTGGGGTTATGAAGAGGCTGTGATGATGTCTAAAGCATTGCCATTCCTGTTCCCACTGTGTATACGTTAAATTATGCAGAACAAGGTATCCCATGTAATTGTTAATGTTTTTTTTATCCTAAGATAATAAAAATATAATACACAAAACAGCAGGGAGACAAGTGTTTGCAATAATGTCAACACTACATTTAAAGGACTGGTGATTTGCATGTATTGGAATTGGCGTCCATCCCTAATAAATGTATGCAATGTTGTCTTTTCTTAAAGAAACCAGCTTTGAGACGTGTCTTCTGCATGGAGTTCCCCAGTGCTTTGAGTCATGCTCAGAAAATTACTTCAGAGGTTTATGTAAAATTCTCCATCTACTCGCAGTTGAAAATGAAATTCTGTAAAATGCAGTTGTCTTCAAACTGCGGGGCCAACTGAGTTGTTAACTTGACGCCATTGCTGTCAACTAAAGTGGCAGCACCCAGCCTATGCGTCTGAATTTGAGCGAGGTGGAGCATGTGCACAAGCGCTGTGACTGAGAAAAATGCTGTATAACAGGTTGTTGTCGTTGCAGCTGCTGGAGCTGTGCTAACAGTAACTTCCTGCTTTAAAGGTCAGCGCTGCAAATAGCGGGTGGAACCTGAGGTAGGGAAGTGATGGAAGCATTATTATTAAAAGTTCAACTGAGGGCGAGGAGCCCACTTCAAACAAATAAGTGACTCAACCAGGGAGTTGAGCGCTTACTTTAATGGTTTGGTGAGAAAAAGCACATCAATCTGTTGGAGAGGCAACAGTTTGCTTTCATTCAAACTTGACAGTTCATTGTTCACACAACTGAGCTTTCACTCACAGCTTTTTGATAGATCAGATGGATCATTGTTCTTCGGATTTCCTGAAACAGTTTCAAAGCAAACTGACCTATGAGCTCTTATTAAAAACATTAACATTTGTGAACCAAAAGCAGCCTGACCTCATACCAAACCCATCAATGTTGCATGCAGAGTGGCTGCTACTGGTTAAGCAAGGCGTTCTCCACATGAAGTGAGCAGAGGAAGGAAAGGCTACCAACCCAGGAGGGAGGAGCGCAAGGCCTCGGGTAGATGGGCCTACTCTGCTCGCAGGCTTATGCATCTCCCAAAATGAAAGAGTAACAGGATTAACGACCATGTCGCTGTGATGGGAGAGCAGAGTGTGGCAAGACCCTGGCTAAAGCATGGCCCAAAGTCTCCTGATAATAAAATAAAGTATGAATTAAACATATATTTTTAAAAAAAATAGTTCCACCCCAGAGGCAGACAGTCACATAATCCCCTTCTGCTCTATTAAGACTCTATCCTCAGCTCTTTTGGTTGATAGAGACATCAAAGCCAACCAGTGTAGCATCAAATGAGACAGGCAGCAGTCGCAGGGGCCCGGCTGTAATTGGCTGAGCTGAGAAGGGGGGAGAGACTGTGGTAGATTAATAATGAATGTGCTGTGCTGGGTTGAGAGAGACCAGAGAGAGATGCCTCAGCTCTCTACAGGCAGGCGAGACTGAAGAGAGCAGAGAGGGCTGACTTCAGTGGAGTCCACATCTTTGGTTTTGATTGCCCTCCTCATCACACACACAAACACCAACCGATGCAGCCGGAGAAACAGCATCTGAAATATTAATCTAATCAAAATACAGCTTCATTTGTATGTCCTGAGCACTGGCCCCTCTGAAAGACGTTTGTTTGTCTTAGTTTTCTGCATCAACACCTCATGAGATGAGACAAAAATGGATAAACTGGAGATTCTGAGGAATATTTACTTTGTATATTTGAATCTGAATTCCCCTCCATTATGTGGGTCAGTATCTCACAAAAATAAGTACATCCCTCACATTTTTGTAAATATTTGACTATATCTTTTCATGCGACAACACTGAAGAAATGACACTTGACTATTTAGCTTGTATAACAGTGTAAGTTTGCTGTCCCCTCAAAATAACACACCACACAGCCATTAATGTCTAAACCACTGGCAACAAAAGTACACCCCTAAGTGAAAATGTCCAAATTAGGCCCAATTAGCCCTTTTCCCTCCCCGGTGTCATGTGACTCTTTAGTGTTTCAAGGTCTCTGGTGTGAATGGGGAGCAGGTGTGTTAAATTTGGTGTTATCGCTCTCACACTCCCTCATACTGGTCACTGGAAGTTCAACATGGCACCTCATGGCAAAGAACTCTGAGGATCTGAAAAAAAGAACGGTTGCTCTACATAAAGATGGCCTAGGCTATAAGAAGTTTGCCAAGACCCTGAAACTGAGCTGCAGCACGGTGGCCAAGACCAAACAGCGGTTCAACAAGACAGGTTTCACTCAGAACAGGCCTCGCCATGTTCAACCAAAGATATATACTTTATAAACTCAGTGTTTTTACTCTATTATTATGATGTTTGTTTACACAAAGGTCCGAAAGACACACATACACAAACAAGACCCATAGCAAGAGATGTCTTAGACATAAATTAGCCTGGGGGTCAAATTTTTTTGGTCTAAACTTAGTCAGTCTTTATTTTTGTGAAACAGTCTAACTTGCATTAGACTAGTCTATGAGCAAATTTTAGACTAGTCTAACACTATGGACCAGTCTAAAATAGCTTTTTGAAACCGGCCCCGACATCTCTAATTCAATTCATTTCAATGGAATTGTGGCGATAACGTGATTCACTCAGGGGGATGAAGTCAATCTGTGCAAATCTTTCAGTGCTGCTTTGAAATTATTGTTCCGTTAGCGACCGGCTTAATTTTCCCTCTTCAATAACCATTTTTTGAACAAAATTCTGTAAAAATCTCAGGGAGGAGTAATCCTAACAGTAGAGAGAAGATAGCGAGAATCTCTAAGAGCTATTGTGACTGACTAGCGAGTTAGCAGTTAGCTCGCCAGCTACAGTAGATCACCTACGAGCCCTGCGAAAGTCACAACCTCACCAAGTTTCAAGAACCAAATGATTTTAAAAAGATTCGCAGACTTCGCACTGTAACACTTTCTGATGTGCAGTCCTTAACTCAAAGTTATGACTCACACATGAAAAATATGATACTGAATCAGAATTCAGAGATTTTATGTCATCACTGTGACTTAGTATCTCAAAATATTGTCATGAGCAATTATCATGCATAAATTTTTATCTCTTGTTTTTGTTCAGTTGTTGTCTGGTAGATATGGCCTTCCATGCATCAAACTACTCTGAAAAGAGGGGTGGAAAAAGCTAACATAGAGATTTAAGCATAGTATTATGACCAAATTGGGGGGGGGGGTCAGTCTGGCCTACAAAGAGAAGATAAACCCAAGCTGGTAACCCCATTTCCCCTCCATCTGTTGGTAGCAGTTGTAGAGTATGGCTGCACTCACCAGGACCTGGCAACCCATCCCCCAAGCCCTCTTTCTCTGGCTGACTGCACAGCTGTGTTGCGTTTGGATTAGGCCAAGAATAAAACAGGAAGTAGAAATTAAACAAAAGCTTAAACACACAGAGAGAGAGCGAGAAAGAGAGAGAGAGTAACACACACACTCTCACACAGCCAGTGTAAGTTACCAAAGGCTCTGCGGCAGCAGCACGAGTGACAGCCAGTAGAAAAGTACACACACCCACACGTGTAGACCATCACACTCACACAAATATACTACAGTATGAACAAAGTCATAATCTGCCTCCCACAGACTCACATAAGCACAGGCACAGGACCACAGGCATATCATTTCTCTGTGCCTACACTCACGCTCACACATATGGTCTTTTTACATGTTAAGTGCCTTGCTGCCTCTCCTCCCCTCTTCATGGTGGTCTGCTGCGGCGGCTCAAACATGCTCAATCAGTCTTGGAGCATGTCAGCGTAATGAAGCTAATATGGCGGAGTATTTCGGTTGTGAGATGACACGCAAACATTATATTCTTAACACAAATCACTGTGAATGAGATAGACTGCATAAGTTGCTCTGAATACTTATGCAATCACTCTGATCATCCTGCAAGCTGGTTCAATAGTGCCAGAATATGGCACCCAGAGATGTAAAAAACATTTCATTTCTTGCAGTTTTTCTTAAATTAATCCACTACATTAAAGCTAAAATCCCATCCAGCTTTTGTTTGAAGAAGATTAAGATGAATATTTAAACAATTCCTGCTTTTATCAGCATATTATTAAACTTATAGTTTTAATCAAAGTGGGTGCAAAGATGTCGAGTCTCTTTTAGGGGAAACTTCATGAATACCTTATGGTCAAAAGCAGCACAAGACTCATTCTGGATTAAAGGAGCATCCAAACAGCATAAATCTGAGTAAATCCTTGATAAGAATACATTGGATACTGCCCCTCCTCTTTCCTTGTATAACATTTTAGCTCTTAAAACTGTCATTATTTTCTCTGCTGTGAACTTGGTCCCACTTTCAGAAAAGCCTCTGCATGGTTTCTCTTTCTGTGTGAATGCACCAAAATAGCTCGCCGATAGCACACAGGAACTATGTCGAATGAGGAAGTGGAATTGGGAAGAAGAAGGAGATGTTTGGAAACATGTAGCTCTATGTACATACCCACGGCGCAGCACAGAGTTAGTGTAGTTGGCAAGGTGCATTTGATGGAAATCCATTAAAGTGCTTCTCGTAATGAGTTGGACCAACTGTTAATGAATATACGGTAAATGTTTTCAGATGTTATTTTTACTGTCAAGACCTGAGTCACCTCATGAGTCACACAAGATTTGTTTCTGTGTGTGTGTGTGTGTGAGAGTGAGTTTTTGTTGACAGATACCAGTATGCCTATCAGTCTGTGTGTGTTTATGTGTGTCTTCATGAACAAGAGAAGCACATGGAAACACTTACTGTATTGCTGTAGACATTGAACCCCCCTCCCCTTTCCCCCTCCCCACACACACACACACACACACACACACACACACACACACTTACACACGTACTTATTCTCTCTGTGGTCAATAAAGAGCACATATGTCCATTGTACTGAATAATAGTGAGCATGCATAGCCAGAGACAGAACACATGCACAGAAGCGTAACTTGCATTTAGCTTGGCTTTCTGTGATAGTGAAAGGTGCTCCTGCTGCAGGGCTTTCATGTTTATATGTGCATGTGAAAATGTATATTCACACACCAGCGTCTGTGCATAATATCAGACTTTATT